CGTCTGGGTCACCCTCAGTCTCGACACCGTCCAGCTTGAAGATAATCTGTGTCAAGATAGTCTCACTTAGCTTCTTGTACTCGAACGTCCTCTTCGCCTTGTCCTCTGGTGGTCCAGCCATGAACTGTACGCACATGGGGACAAATTCGGTGTGAAACTTGCTAGCGATGGCATCGAGTTTGCCGATCGGGGTCTGGGGTTCGGCGGGTTTGGTATTCAAGGGAGGAGCGGAGGTTGGGCGCGGGGTTGCGTTGATGTGCGAGGGGATGGGGAGGTATTCCGCGCCCGCGCCGGCAGTGGTGTAGCCAGGTGTTGAAGTGCCAGATGCGTTTGCGGAAGAAGCGTTCTTCTTCTTACCCTTCCTACCGCCGCGCTTGCGGGACTTCTTCTTGCTTGTGGTATTCGCACCCGAGTCGACATCATCTTCATCGTCGTCATCTTCATCCTCACCTTCGCTGCCGTATGCGCGTTGTGTCTCTCCTGCGCCGGGTGCCAGACCGCCTGCTGGGGTCTCGCCGACTGTGACTAGAATCTCACTACCACTCCCATCGCCGCGAAGGCCTTCCTCTCGTCCGGTGCGTTCATCGTGCTTCAAGTTTCTGCCCTTGTAGAACATGCGTATGCGCCGATGGTCATCGACGCCTAGCTTCTTCGCAGCCGCTTGGCGCACCGTGCCAATCTTCAGATCTCCATCCCGTATGCTGTGCGCCGGGAAGTGTGTGGGATAGTTTGTGCGCCCATTCTTGAAGATGAGAACGTCTGTCTCTCGCTCCGGGTTCTTGTCGTCCCAATCTACGATTTCAGGCGCTTGCGCCTGACCGTTCCTTCGCAGATCTTCGTTCGTAATGTATGAGAAATCCGAGTCATTGACGACCCCGGCATTTGGTGAGTTGCCTGGTCGCCCGAAGGGTGAGAAGCGCCCTCCCCAGTTTCCGCCGGTGCTGCGAGAGAACCAGGACATGGTTACGACGACGGATGCTAGTGCGATAGCAAGGGTAGTAAGGTAGGTTGGATCGTCGAGGCGGGGGTTCGTGAGAAACTCGGTGATGTCGTGGAGACGTGGATGTTGCAAGAATCGCACAAATCTCGAGAGCGCGTCTGTGGGCTGATTCTCTTTATCGTGTATCGACGAGGGCGTCGTTGAGCTGAGTAGTGAGTGGGAGTTGAAGAAGTTGAAGGAATTCTTCAATTCGTCGACAAGGTTGCTTAGCGACGCCACGGTGGTGGAGTGAAAGTCGCCCTGCCAGTGTAGCAAGGCCGTAAGCTGTCCGCGCGTACTCGAATGACGTAGTAACCTGCTAGAAAAGCCCTTTTGTGTGTAGTGGGGGCTTCTGTAAGCGGTGTGAATTTATGAGACCCGACGTCGGTTCGGAATCTCCGACCGCTGCACGCGGAACTCGGCCCACTTCATTGCTCATGTCCCTCGGCTTAGTCATACACACTGCAACATTCATAATGCTTGATCGATCTTAGTTGTACAACTAAAAGAATATCACTGTACCGCATCATACAACATATTCAGAGATATATCGGATTATCTGTCATTGTGTTCGACTGTCGTATGCCATTCATTTAGTGTATTATACACAAGCTAAGCTTAATCATGAGGACCGTTTTCGTAATGTTCATTGTCCATAGGACACCTGAGATCCAGAAACAAAGGAGAAGATTTTGAGGTTCACGCTTACCAACCATTACGCCCCGAAGCAATTATAAACTTGAATGAAAGGAAAGAAGATGTGGCAGCAACAAAATGGCGTGAGTCGTAAGATGATGCACAGGCATCGTGACCGATACGCCAGCGAATGGCAAACAGAATACGTGAACTGAGAACAATGTTCGCTGTATCACAAGACAATGTACGCCAGCTATAGCTTGCAACGACGATACATCCCAATAGAGCTACGCTCAAGGCCCAAGGCCCACAAGCTCAAGCTTTGTTTCGCTTGGGTGTAGCAAGGAAAGCAAGCCTCGACTTGCTGATGGCACCTGAACGTCCTGCTGGAGTGTGGCGAGGCAGCTTGCTCGTGCTGGCAGGAGTTTTCGCAACAGGCGCAGGCGTGTGCTTCATTTTCTTGCTGGATCGTGTATCATCTTGATGGGGGCCGTCGTTCTCTTTGTCAGACGTCTCTTGGAGCGTCTCCAGCTTGCGCTTTGTACCGTCAATAGCAGAGGACACATTGCTCTCACGGACCATGCGGATCGTACCAGAAGGGGTCGGTCCTGAGAAAGTTAGTGCATGCAAAGATAACAGAACCCATAGTATGTACGTACCAAAGTTGACAGTCTTGCTAGACTCGAAGGAGAAGGAACGAGGGTGGTTGGGAGTTTCGCCACCGAAGGTGAGACGTCGTGACGGGCTGAGAGGAGTCTCAGTCTCTTGTGAAAGGTCTAGGTGTTGTGCACCTGAGCCCAGGTTAGGGTAGATTACAGCACCAGCAGGAACTTCGCTGCCTGCTCTGAACTTCATCGGTGACGGTGATTTGCCCAGCTCGTCGTGTGATGCACGCTCCAAAGTACTACTGCTGAAGTTGACTTGTTTCTTGACAGGAGCTGTAGCAGGAATCACAGGCAGAGTGCTATCAGAGTCTGAAGCTGGAGGTGACACGTGAGTGCCTGCCGCGATTTTACTAGGGTCGTCTGAGAATTTGCGGTTTGGCGTGCGGAGGATCGACCGGACACGCTGAAGGTTCTGGCTTGCCTACTGCTGTTAGTAAACGCTTGAATGGATATCGAAGAACATGCATACCTTGCGCATACTGTCACGTGCTCCATCCCTCATAGCCTGCAAATGACCAATGTTGCTAGTGGGAGGGAATGAAGTACCCGTTGAAGGCAACTTGACGCTGCGGTTAATGGATGGCGAGACTCCCAGGTTATTTGTGGAAGGTGAGCCTCCCAAGGTTGGAATCATCGACGTAGTCTTCAGAGTCTTCACACTCTGCGAACGCGCGATAGACGACTTTGTAGGTGTCATCAATCGCGCAGCTAGGCGAGGAAGCGCGGTCTGAGAGGTCTTCTTACGTGCTGAGGTAGCAGTTACACGTGCTGGGACGTCAGTCGTCTTCTCCCGAGACGCAGGACGAGTGGTGGCAGCATCGTCTGACTCGGTACGCTTGATACGCTTTGCCGCCGCGTTGTGGTCACCATCGTTATCGCGGGGGGCTGGTCGTCCGTCTCGTGTAGGAGGAGCCATGCGGGCTGTTGAATGAGAGCGTGGCAGACTAGATCCGACATTGTCCATCTTGGACTGGGTACGTTTCAACGGAGTTGAAGTAATTTTGCTTCCAGACGCTGCCAGTTCCATCTTCGACTGTGTGTGCTTGAGACCACTGGCAGAACTCGCGCTTGAATCTGCGAGATCCACCTTGGATTGTGTACGCTTGAGCTTGTTCGTCTCCGGGTTTGCCAAGTCTGGCTTCGAGGGCGACTTCTTTAGAGGATGGCCCACGACAGGCTTGAATCGGGTAGGGTCGGCGCGGAAAGCTGAAGGGTGATTCGCGATCGAATCCATGCTCTTGAACTGCTTCATGTGCACGTCACTGAAGCGAGCCATCTTGCCTTTAGCTTCGGCCTTCTTGCGCTGGGGAGATACGTCGGCCTTGGAAGACCATTCACTCGTGCCTATATCAAAATCAGTACTCGGGAAAAAGCAAAACAGGTTGAGCGGGCTATAACCGACCAAACAGAGCACGGCTCCCGCCGCCAGGAGTGCCTGTAATCCCAGCGTCTTTCAAGATGTTGCGCGAGCTTGGGCTCAGTGTAGCCTCATCTTTGGACAAGGGCGATTTGAAGCGGAAGCGGAAGTTGGGCGACGAGTCAAGCTGGGCCGTCGAAGCAGCAGGTACTGGGGTCTTCGATGGCGTCGCCTGGCCTGCTAAGCCAGCCGCTTTGGACGGCGCGGTATGCGCACCGAGTGATTGAAACCCGAGCCAGCGCGCCTCATCTAGAATCTTAGCTGTACTCGCATGATGGTGCGCAGGATGCATCTCCTGCCCTGCTGGCTTGATCGGGGTGCGATCCTTGGGAGTCTGGCTTTTGGCGGCATCAATGGGCAACTTGGTCGATTTGTTCTTGTGTGATGTGGGTGTAGCGGTCGCATGCGGTAGCTTTGACTCGGCCTTGGTACCTTCAGAGGCTTTCGAGGGCTTCTTCTGCTCCATACCGGGCTCTGGCAACTCTGGAAGATCCGGGAGTCCTAGGTTTGGCGACGAGGCGGTATGCCAACTATCTTCGGATCGCATGGAGGTGTCGGGCGTGGTCTCACGCTATGGAAGACGCATTAGTAGATGTAAACAAATGATAGAAAAGCAATACGCGCGCATACCTTGAGCAAACGAGCTGATCGACGCGCCATGTTGTCACGAAGTGTCGAAGAATGATCCACAACTAGGTTGCGACACGAAGATGAGCGGAGATTGGGGCTGGTCTGTGGGTGGGGAGAGACCAAGACGGGGGAGTTATCGGCTAGGGCGTCGATAAACAAAGTGCACGGACGTTGTTGTCCCAAAGAGGAAGCGACGTCATGAGCCATCTCAAGAGACGCGTACGAAGAAGCTCTTCGAAAGCACAGGCTCAAGGCTTAGGTTTTGGGTTCTGGACAGCTAATCTGCGTATGTTTGCCTGCATATGCAGTGACTTGGGCAAATGTGCTCGTTTCTGAGAGAAGAAGACCAAAAGTTCCAAGGTCAAACTCCGCTTAGACAAACCCTAAAACGAATCATGAAATTATACACTGCTATCTTATATGTAGAGTCGCCAGACACATTACTACGTACAACTTCAAGATACACTCCAATGATCCCAAGTACATCTAATCAGAAGCGAGCTCCTTCGCAGACAGCGTGCGATAACGTGCAACGACGTACATTGTAACACGGATACAAAGGAGTCTGAGCGTGATTCTATCGATCTCTGCTAAATTGGTTCATTGAGCCTGAAAATCTGCCCACCTATTGGGTCTTCGCATAGCCGCCGAATGTTGAATTCTGTCGATTCGTTCACCGGCCCTTCTGCGTCTCCCTCCCAAGCAGCGCGAAAGGCGGTTTCGCCAATCCAGCTTCGACACTCCTCTCTACCTCATCCCTCAGCCCCTCTATTCTTCTCTCCTCATCATCCCTCTGCCCCTTCTTCTGCTCTTCACTCTTCCAGACGAAGTTACCCGCGCCACCTCTCCCGCTTCTGGCGACAGGCATTTCCTGACCCTCAGGATGCCAAGGTGTGCTGATCTGTGGCTTCGATGACGTAGGGATTGCGGTTGCGTCAACAGCCTGTGTGAAGGTACCTTCTTTCTGAAGCTCAGTGGGCTGATACCAGTTACCAGCACCGCCGCGACCCATGTGTGCGTAGTCTTGAGAGGAATTTGAAGGTTGCACTGGGGTCGAAGAGTGGATAGGTTGTGTATCGGTAGTGGAACGGTTGGCATCGACGTCCTGTATAGACTGTCAGCTTTCTTGAAAGTCTATACGGTTGACAATGCAAGAGATGCATTAACTCGCCTCAACTGCCTTCTTGCTTTGCTCCTGCGCCGCGTAGTAATTACCTGCACCACCGCGCCCGTACGCCATCGCAAAACAGTGCTCACCAAGATGACTCAGGTTTGCTGTTGGATATATTGCTGTGTGTCGCAAAGATGCACAGGAGCTGTCGGTATGTCACAAGAGGGATGAATGATGTTCACAAAAGAACGACGAGGAGGCTGAGCGTAATTACATTGTACGCGGCTCCGAGTGGGTCGTCTGAACTCATATCAATCCGTGCCCGACGTTCTGGACTGATAGCAACGTGGGGAAAGGCTTGTCTAAACGACGATCAACGAGACTCAATGTGGGGTCCGAATTGGTCATAAGCTTGGCAAACTGATAACGCGGGTTGCCAAGCAGGTTCCGCAGTTAACAAGTACGGGTGCGAACCAGGTGAGAGGGACTTCTCTACATGTCTCAAGCATTGGTATTTATTGCAACGTGTAACGTGTAGAGCATCAAGTTGAAAAGCTGAAGAGCTAAAAAATCGTAATATTCGCACATTGTGACTAACAAGTGTGAAGCTAAACATGCTACAGGAAGGCCTAATCCCTGGTAGTGGCCATGAAACAAACAGAAGGAAGACATCGCTATCTCGACAAAACAACCATTGACCGTCAGCCCGGATAATGCCACCAGATTTGGCGAACGCCTGAACACCATCCCACCGAGCTAAACTCCACGAAACCTCACGAATCCACAAACGGCATGGGCACTACTCTCGACCCTCTTGTACAGCACGCAATACTGGGTAAAGGTTGTGCGCATCATCATCGCTCATGCGGCGCTCATGCACGTGCTTGACGTCTTCCTCATCGTCAGAGAAGTCGTGGGAATCCAGCCTGTCCTTGAGGTATGCCCTGAGTCTTTCAATGACCCGGATGTTCTCAACCCACGATTGCTGAGATGAGTCACCTTGCTCTGTGGGGGTTGATGAAGCAACGCTTGGAGAGCGAAGAGCAGGGTCAACCTTAGGCGAGTGAATAGCCAGCTGGTTAACGTCGTGGTGGAGACTATTTTGCTCGGAATCCCGGCGGTCTTTGGGTGAAGCACCATCGCTCGAAGTATCCATGTCATTCTCTGATCGATCTGGGGCAGCCTTCTGCAGAAGGTTCCCGGAGAATCGTCGACGGCCATCAGTGTCAAACGCAGGTGCAAGCCCAGATGATGGAGCTGCAGCTGACATATCCGACATGGCGCTGACAGATGGAAGAGTAGGGTACATGCTACCAATTGAAGTCCTTGACGTGGGGGATACACCGTTGTTTGAGGAGTGTTGCGCGCCGGGGGAGTGCTGAGATCCGTACGATAGCACGCTCGATGCAGGAGTCAGAGCCGGGGTTTCGGCACTGGTTGACCCAATAGCAGTAGCGTGAGATGACTGGGAGTGGCTAGAAGATAGGCCAGGCGGTGAGTTACTGGAGCGGTAGCCAGCGCCAGTGTGAACGTAATGGCTAGGATGAGCCACCCCAGCGGCTGCAGCGTGGTTGGGGTTCTCATAGACGGTGCTTTGCAATTGCTCCAAGAATTGGTCGATGTTTAGGAGATCGCTCTTGGTCCTCAGATTAGGAAGCGGCAAGGAGTAGGGGTGGTGCATGGGCGGGTGCTGCGCTTGAGCAACCATTGAGCCTCCGTGGCCATACTCAGACATACCGGCGCCTTGGTAGCCGCCTCCGCCACCTCCAAGTACTGGAAGCTGCACACCCTGGAGACCCATGAGTCGTTGACCGACATCATAGTAGGTGGTAGGGTCGATTGCGCGACGCTTGGCGTCTCCGAAGAACTCATTTAGCGCATCGTATGCAGCACGCTTCCTGATCTCGTAGTCGTTGTTGAGCTGTTGAGATTGGTTGACAGCATAGTAGACTGGACCGTAAGCAGAGTTTTGGGGTGGGCCTCCATAGAAACCAGCTGGAGCACCACCTGGGTGTTGCTGGCCGTAACCTCCGTTGGGGCCAAGGGCACTATCGGGATACTGGTATCCACTTGCTGTAGCGGCAAGTGCCTGCAAGTCAGCGACCACTGCAGTAGTCTGTTAGATATTGAAAGAGAGTGAAGGGCAGACGTGAGAGCCGATGTTGAGATCGACGAAGTCATGTGAGGAGTACTTACGTTTGCCGTTCTGGCCCGGGTAGCCTTGGGCGCCATGGGGACCGCCTCGGTTGGGCTCTGGAGAACGGAGCAATACGGAATCGTCGGCGTGCGTCTTTACGTGCTTCTTGAGATCCTGAGGGCGCTTGAACGCCTTACCGCAGAAATCGCACTTATGCGGCTTCAACGGGACGTGTACGCGAATGTGAGAAGTGATGTGATCGCGTTTGACCGTGGTGGTGCGGCAGTTGCCCCACTGGCAGGTCAAATTCAGGTTGTTGGTGCTCTTGCGACCAACATGGCGCTCACAAACGTGATCCTGCAATCGAGTCAGCGGACTAGGACGACAAAGCGACAAGATCGAACGCGTCGCGGCGCGATATGCAGTCGCTAGAAATACTTGGCGGTCAACTTACATATAGCTGCTCGGCAGAGGGCAGACGGTCACCACAGTTTTGCCATTGACAAACAAGCTGGTCGCCTGAGCCACCAGCAACTGAGGCGGGCGTTGGGGCATTCTGCTGGATGGGAGTGCCTTGGGGTTGTTGTTGAGGAGTTGTAGCCGCTGCGGGCACTGTACTCTGGACTTCGCTCATCGTCTTGGCGAAGTCGAATGTTAGTTGCCAATGATGATGAAGGTTGGTGGTGTGCAAAAGAGTCAGAACAGCTCAACGTGATGACAGATATCGCAAAGTTAAGCCGCGGGTGGAAAGAGCAGCCTGGGGTCGTGGAGCAAAGTCAGAGGAGAGAACGCCCAGAGGTTTTCGCGGGCAGTTGGCAGCTTTTACCAGCGGAACGGAGCGGGCGAAGATTCGCCCAGAGAAAGAGAAACTGGCGCGGTCGAAGAACGAGGCACAGCCCTGCTAAGCCGAGCTTGGAAAGGTCCGAGGATGGTGGGCAAAGCCTCAATGTGATTCGGCCTTGTCATCCCAGCTGCCCCACTCTCTTACTCACTGGCGCCTTGGCCCTCATCTTGGCCAGACGCGATTGCTTCGCCGACATCCGTCAGTCGCAGATGACCACATGCGAACCACAATCAAGTAACCGCTCCCTGTTTTCGCGGGGCACTTGGTGCGCGTATCGAGAGGCGCTACGGACGAGGAGGGTCATGGGCGTTGTTGTGTGCGGTGGGTAGATGGGATACGTTGCCACACCCTCGACCCCTCACACTGAAGCGACACAACCGAAACAGCAATCAAAATGCGGAACTCTTGGTGCCCTTGGCTCATCAGCAACAGCGGGAAGTATTGGCATCCAATCTGCTCCAGTTTTTGCTGCGTTCCCACACTCTTGTCACGCCATCGCATCGTCGCCACTGGACGGCTGTGGCTCGCGGGCTGGTTATGCTACAGAGTATATACCTTGGAACAAAGAGACACCGAGTTGCGCATCGCATGGCCTCTTAATTTCCCGTCTCGGACTAATGGCTCGTCGCATTCGCATTTTGCGCCAGTGGGACATCGATGCTTGTCCAGCATCCCTTATCCTGGCGAGTACTTTAATGGTACTCCAGGAAATGTATGCGCTCTCAACACCAGTCAACATGCTCTCGACGCTTGAGAGATGGTTCAATAACAATGTTTTTTACTATCGCGATCACGCTGCGTCCGTACAAGGATGGATTCTGTCACGATCGACCTTAGTCTTACAACTCCTCAAGTATTTGGTACACACCTAGGACACTCAGCCCCTCGACAAGATCCTATGAACAGCTCGGGGTTTCGAAATCTCAAACGATCGCCAACTTTGAGCGGGATGTCCACGCATCCACGTTTCCACTCTTGGCTTTTCGCCAAGTGCCCAGCAATGTAGGCCAAGAATTGAGCGATTATTACATTGAGGCTATGCACGCTTACGAGGCAGGAGGTATGGCCGTACGGAACAATGTCATTTGCCGCAAGTATAGTCTTGCAAATGGTAAGTTGTACGGGTTCCTGACGGCCAACTATATCAGCGTTGCGCTATTTACTCTCTACTAGAGGCCCGACAGATTTCTTTTTTAAACGTGGCCGAAGTACGATCTCCATACTTCAGGGGCAGCGAGAGCTACCGCCCGAACGTGGATATGGCTTAGATTATGTCTCAGCACCCCAAAATCGGCACTTCTTGTGTCCAACATCGCTGCACTCGACAAGCAAGGCGCACTCTGAACCAAAGCATAAGTGTCACAATTCCATGATGAATTTCTAGCAAAGAAGCTGTCTCCCCGCGTACCTTGTTATCTTCAGGGACACATTTGCGACGGGCCTTCTTCGTTTTTAATGAATTAGGGTACCTGATCATGAACACATCGCGACCTCAAATGACTTAGTTTCGATCTCTCTGCTATATCTACCGAGCAAAAGACGCGTGTACATACAATGCATGCAACCAGCCACCTGTAGCACCCACTCGGGCAGCCAACGCGCAAGCGTAGTGGACGAACAAACGAGCCACAGCACCGCCACATATACCTCCTATCTGCACCATGACGGACGCCTTGCCACTACTCCGTCGTCCAAGATCAGCGGAGCGGCTTGGAAGATTGGGGCAGGTCTTAGTGCCCATCACGCTCTGTTCCTGTCTGCCGATGCATCCGCTTCCTCGTCCCGCACGAACACCAAGAGTACGGCAGAGCGGAATTCTTGATTTTGAGCCGCCAAGCAACAACATGTACTTTCTCCGCAGAACATCGTCACATCAACTCTTTATTGACCAACCCGTTGCGGAACCCGTCGTAGGGTTTTGAGCGCCGTCTTGCTGTCAGCATAAATCTAAACGACATCCGCATGGGGGCGGCCCTTGGTCGAAACACAGGATCATCTACTAGGTCCTGCCAGAGATCGATGCCCAAACGGCTGGTTAGGATCAGCTCAAACTCTGTAGATTTAAGCTTTGTCGCATGTGTATGGCTGGCGGTATCATCGTGCAAATACGTGATGCTCCCCATCGTCCAGTCTAGAACAGAAAACATACCATTGACACGTTAGAGAGTATGACATGCAAGACCTCCCTGAAAGCACACTGACCGAGACTCTATGTGGCATGCGCCACCCCGCTGGCGTTGCCCAAACACAAGCATACTAGATAACACGCAGAATAAGATTCGCAACGGAGGCTTAAACACGTCTACAGCTTTTCATTGCTATAACAAAACGTCATCGGAAGTGACATACCCACCAACAAACAACCTTCCAGGCCTAGAGCTTGGCCTGTTTCCTGTCCCCCAATCTCAGCCTATCCTCTCTTCTCACCCGCCTTTCTCAACACATCAGCAACAGCATAATATGCTGGCTTTCTCTGCAGGTTCTGATTCCAGAGACAGGCATTGCCCTCCCCTATAAAGGTCTCAGGCACCCAGCTAACCGTGTCCCAAAAGTCCCAGACTGTGACTCCAACGCAACTTTCCTCATCCGCACATGCGCGAACCGAGTCAGCATAGATGGTAGCCTGGGCAGCTGTCTTGTTTGCATTGTCTGGCAGTGTCATTCGAACATCAAGTTCAGTCAACGCTGTTTCCAGATCCAGGCTAGAAAAGAGCTGCTGCGAAGCACGAATATCGGTATACAACGGTGCTCTGCCCACTGTAAAATGTGCTTGTAGCCCCACACCATCAATGGGCACACCGACGCCTTGGTACTCTCTGATCATACGCGCAATAGCCAAACTCTTGTTGTTCACCCTCTCAATTCCGTAGTCATTATAGTACAGTTTGGTGCCTGGACTTGCATATTGTCTTGCTAGACGGAATGCATGTTCAATGTATTCTGGACCGATGGCATCCAACCAGATTGTCTTTCGCAGTGTGCCGTCGTCGTTGAAAGCTTCGTTTACTACGTCCCATGCGTAACAATCGTCCCAGTAATACTCTGCGAGGTTTTTGATGTGGTTTTCTAGGACCGTAAGCAGACTGGCTTTGGTCCAGGTACCTGTTGTGAGCCAGGTGGGGAGTTGATTGTGCCAGAGAAATGTGTGACAGCGGCGGATCTGATCGGCCTCTTTGCTGGCGTCGACGATTTGGTCTCCCAAAGTGTAGTTGAAAAAGTCGCGTTGCGGCTCTGTGTGTACCCATTTCTGGCCGTTGGAGGCGGTTACTTGGTTGAACTCGGAGCGCTTGAAGGCTATGGAAGTGTATCCATCGTTGTCGAGGACTACGTTGTCAACAGCCGTACCAAAGTACTTGAGCCCAGCTTTCTTTGCGAGATCGCTGAGACCTGGAGCTGAGTTCAGGTGAGAGACAAAGCTGGAGCGTGGATGTATGGGGGCAGGTGTTGGAGAAGCAAGTACAAGCGGGAAGACAGAGCAAATGACAAAAAGCTTCATTCTGAAGTCCTCGAGGTGACCGAAGAAAGGAAGAAGTCTCAGACGTGGCACTTGTTGTACGATATCCGAATTCCTATCAACCCTGTTTGTCGATTACCCGCCACCGGAAGTACAGCGTAACCCAATATACAGTCTGGTCTTACAAAGGTATGATAAAATATAGTCTCCCTATCGTTGATGACGGTGAAAGTGTCGGTAAAATGCTTAGCATCTACTGTTGTTGTGATAGCCAACCCCGATTTGAAGAGCATGGCGTAAGACCTCGAGATCAAACCCGTACTGCAATATGATATAATTTAGAGCTAGGTATACCATGAGCTCTGAAGGACATTCATGATATGAATCCCGTGCAACAATATGTAAAGCTTTATAATGTTCATCTGGAAACAAGACGATTGCAGAGAGAGGTGTTTACATGCTATCAAAGTGGGTATCCTAACACAGCAGCCTGGGCTCGAATACCTTAGCCAACAAACGCTAATTGGTGGGACCACAGAGTAGTACTCTCGAGTCTGTTGTTTAAGGCAGTTGCTTTCTTCCAGGCCAAGGCACATATTGTGGTCATTCGCTAACAGCTTCGGCGTCGCAAGGTATGCGGCTGGACGGAAATAGGCTAAATCGAGGTTCATCAGTTACGGCTACCACCCTCCTTTGAAGCTGGGCTGTGCTCAGCACTCCTTTTGTTGAAGAGTTTGTATTACTCTATCCCTTCTATCGTTGTATCTATCATGCTCCGCTCCAGTGACACCTTCATTGTAATTTTTCGATACCGTTGAAGACACCAGCTTCTTCCAGCTCTTGGATAGAAACCTTGGGCATTGGACTGACTGCATCTGCACACTTGAGCGCACTTTCGATGCTGCCCCAGAATGCATCAAGGTTAACGCTTCTGGGTATGCGACAGCCACCTTCACCGATTGGAAGCTTGGTAACCTTTGTTCTACCAAGCTCACCAACTTTCGACTTGTCCGACGAATGAAGGCCTTCGGTGACTACATCAACTTGGAAGCGTTCGCCGCCCCTGTCATCGAATATTTCGGGATTATAAGCAGCGGCGACAGCGAGCGGATCATGTAACGGTGGCCCTTCTGTTATAGAGAAAACCTCAGCGTATGTCCCTGCGAAGAAAGACATGATTTGAGTGAACAAGGCCCGCACAGCCGAAGGTGTGTGGTCACTCTTCGAGCCTGGCGAGTTCCATATCGCATCTCCGTATAGCTGTGTCTGGCGAACTTTCTTCGTACCGAGAACTTGATGCGTCAGATCAAGAGGTACAAGTGTCGTCTTGGGCTTAAGAACAGGGTGCGAGAAGATGAAGTGAGATGCTTCAGGATCACACTAGACATGTCAGCGTTCCCCCCGTGTTTTGGAGCAATCGGTTTTCTTACGTAGATCTGTTGGAGTAGGTCAGCCTTGTCTATTGGCGCTAGATATGAAGATTGTAGCATACGTTGAACTCAGCATATGGCGTCCAGTTGCCAAATCTTTCGCCCTCTCCCTCAACCGTACCCATTGGCGCATCCGTAAAACCTCCACCCACCGCACCACCCATTATACTGAGACCTTTGAGATGAGCCGCTAGATGGGTGTACTTTTGAAATAGCATGCCGATGTTGGTCAATGTGCCCGTGGAGACCAACCAAGCGGTGTTTGGTGGTGTAGCCATGAGCGCTCGGTACATGGCTTCGAGGTGGTCGACGTCGGTCGCTGCTGGTTCGACGGGACTCGGTAGCAAGGTGACACCATCCAAGCCGGACTCGCCTGCGACAATTAGCGGATAACCATCAGTTGTTCGGGGAGGCGCCTGTACCATGGATGTCGGCAGCATGTACAGCATCGCGTACGAGAGGCTTCGAAGCGCCAGTATAGACCTTCACATGGCGCTTTCCAACTGCCTCCAAGATTGCCCTTGTGTTGTACGTGGTCTGCTCGAGCGCAGCATTGCCGTGGACAGTGCTTACGCCGAGCAGCTCGACTTTTGGATCGTGCGCGCAGAGCAGGAGGGCATATGCATCCTGGAGTCACGATGAGCAGCGTGTCGGGGAGAGCTTATCTGAGACTCACATCATGCCCGGTATCCTTACTTGGTCAGCATTGCACATGAAGAAGGCACAAGCAAATACACACGCAGTCGAGCCAAATTGGAGTCTTGGAAGAAGGAGCGCTCATAGTATATTATATGGCTCCGGGAACCGTGTTTATTCTACGTGCAGCTTCGACGGCAGATACGTACCACATGCACCGTATGCACATGCAGGGTCGTAAGCGGGATGCTTGGTGGGGTCCACGGGGTGCCGCACCCCTACTGGCTGGAGAACCAGGAACGCGGGTCTTTATCGACGTCCCTTCTATTGATGCTCGGCTCTCACCCAAAGGCCTTAGAGGACACCACTGGCCTGCTCCGAAACATAGCGGTGAGAGGAAGAAGGAGCTCGCTCATCCGGGTGCTTCGAGCAAATTTCGATTGGCTGGTTTCTCCGGCACCGTCAGCCCTGCATCCAAGTCCGAGCCTAGGTAATGCTAGACACGGATTCGTGACAAGCACACGTACACAACGCTACTGCTCCACATCGCTGTCCTACACCTGGCTTCATTCATTTTAGTCGCGACGCGCCGGTTGTTAGGCGTACACTTCGAGGCCGCAAGCCATCTCTGTAGGTTCTCCAGTCGAGGACCTATCCGCCGTAAAGCCGGGCTGATCCAGAGCTGTTCGCATGTGCGATACGCAACGTTGGTTGCGTTGAGCGAACTTCGAGATGGATCTCCTTCGGCGTCACAAGGGACACCACGAGGTGAAGACAGATCGATACTGGGCACTTGGGTATTACTTTGAAAGCCTGAATGACGAGCAGAAACATCAACGCCGGGAGTATCTGGAGTGGTATGGGTTTATCGCACAGTGGTCGGTCTTGGTAATATTTGCGCTTTTCCAGATTGGCTTCGCCTTGTCTTGGGTGATGAGGACTAGTTTGAGGTATGATCAGCCCAAATCGCCATCGTTCACCAAACAGCCAAAGGATAGATTAGGATGGCTGCGAAGTATCCAGAGTGGCTGTAACAGGGTGACATGGTGGATGAAAAAGGATGTGGTTGGAGGGTGGGGTTGGGGTACAAGAGGAGAATGGATTGGTGCAAGTATCTGGACCGTATGGCTGGGGTACCTTTGCATTGCTCATACTCGCAATGGTATGGATTCTGAATATTTACCCATTGTGAATTAGACTGACCGTACACAGACTATCTCCATCTCACAAAACGTTTCGGACAAGTTGGCGCATCACAGTTACCGATCCATTACCTACTTGCGGTGCGAGCGCCCTACAGCCCCGTACAGTATTTGACGCGACTCTCCCATGAGCAAATCAAGGCCTCGCATCAGATACTGGGACGCATCACATTCTTACTTTTCCTACTACATACAGCCCTCTATCTGAACTTCTTCGTTCTTTCCGGTTCCCTGGCAAAGCGCATCAAAGACTGGGATGTCATTTGGGGCCTTGTCAGCATCATCCTCTTCTCCACTATCTCGACGACCGCCCTGGGATTCGTACGAAGAAAGAACTACCGGGTGTTCTACATCTCGCACATCGCCATTGCGAACTTCATCGTTGTGCCTCTGTACCTACACGTATCGCATATCCGCATATACGTGTACGAGGTCCTCGCGATAGAAGCATTTCATGTCATTTCCCGGGCTTTGCGTTTGAACATGTACCAAGGCACCCTCCGACTTCTTCCTGGCACCAATCTTGTCCAGATCCGCATCCCGTTACCAGCAGAGAGTACTGCGCTTGTTTGGAAGCCTGGACAGCATGTGTATCTTAGCAGGCCGCATATCAGGGGGAAGACTCCCACATGGTACGACCAATGGCTTATGACAAACAAGACGAATCCTTTCACCGTTGCTTCTCTCCCATCGAAGGACAAGGAACTGCTCCTTATTGCGAGAACGCTTAACGGCAACACAAAGTATCTGGGAGAGCTAGCGCGCTCTTTGTCGCAAGGAGGAGGTAATGTGCCAATGCTGCCTACAGCTGGCGGCGATATTCCCATCTTGCCATTTTCCCTCGAAGGACCATATGGGGCGTCAAGTCGCCTACCGGATTTTTCAGACTTTGGCAAGGTACTTTTGGTTGCAGGGGGCGTTGGTGCAACGTTCATCGTACCCATCTATCGGAGCATTATCGAATTACACGACCCTGCGCCTGCAGGTACGCAGATCCGATGCATTTGGGCGGTTCAGAAGTTGGCCGAAACACAGTGGGCATTCCCTGCGAGTTCCGCATCTGATGACGAACACGAAGACGACGCAGCAGCCGACACGAATGAGACTGGACTGTTACATGGCTCGCGCAGCGTAGAAGTTTATGTTACACGACCTTCAGGGCCGAGATCACGAGCCGATGCGAGCGCGGCCGGTGTTTTCGCTATCGACCCGGACGACGACGTGGGGGAGGTGATCGAAATGCAGGAGAATGAGCAGCTGTTGGACATGGAAGAGCAAATGGAGAAGTCGCAAAAGGGGATGCTTGTCAAGAGCGGGAGGCCGGATCTTAGCAACGTGGTAGATGAGGTGTTTAGCAAGGGTATGAGAACGGCGGTAATCTGCTGCGGGCCGAAGAGGCTGACAGATGATCTGAAGAGAAACGTTGAAGTGTGGGTGAAGAAAGGGCACGACGTATTTTGGTACGACGAAACGTTTGGCTGGTGATAATGAATTGAAGTTCATAGTCGGTGTGATATTGAAATGGTGAACAGCGTTATACCTGCCGCCAACCCGGCAATTGGGTACACGCAGTGGGTCACATCGATCATGCATGCTCCCGAAACTCTGGGCCTCCCACTTGGAACTGCGAAGGTGAAGACATGGACATTGCATGGAGGCTTTGAAACTTTGAGGCTACAAGATGGACCAAACTCTAAACTACTGACGGCCTCTAGACTCGCTCGATCATCGCAACGCCGGGCTGTGGGCCGTTGCCGGAGGCCATCTTGTCAGGAACGGGAAAGGCGTAGGGAGACGGAAGCTTGTCCAGACAGTTGTGCACTGAGCAGTCTGTGTGCATAACACGGAAACAATCAAACTTGGTTCATGGGTGCCTGCGATGTTTACCCGACGTGTGGTGTTCTTGATGCTCGTCAGCGATGGGAAGGGGGATGGTCAAACAGTAAAAGGAAGCGCGTGTCTGGAACTGCGAACCATGTGCCTAAGTAGTATTTGCTTTTTGCACATAGCTGTCGCAAAGCCGTTCAGGTTTAAGGAGTTGGACCCATGAAGTCCCCATTCCCCTTTGGTCGCGGCGCAGATTAGACGAGGCCCGAGCAGACTGCAGCCAAGCGCGAATCACCATCTTCCCCGGCAATCAGAGCAACGCTCCCAAATCCTCTTCTCAAAGGGCTCCTTCATCCCGTCGCGACTCTCTCACGAATCATTGCGGCTGCTGGACCCATTGTGTGCGGCCGTGTCTCGGATCGCCGACTTCTGCTTGTCTTTCGTTGTAGTAATTCTCCTTCTCTTTCTTTCTGATAGCACGCGCCGGTACCAGTTGACCACACCCTTCACCAAGCAGGGAAGTTGCTTGCACGCGCATGCAAACCACCCCTCACAACTTCTGGCCTGCGTCCCCACACCTACGTCTTGCCTCCTTCTCGCCCATGGCATTGTTTTTATAGCTGCAGTGCTCCATAATAGGGAGGTTTCTACCGTGAGGCTATTTGTACACGACAGCCTGCCAGCGGCCGTGGTCTGCCCGGCATCGCCCCTTCCTTCTCCGCCCTCGAAACCCTACATTGCGCCGTCCAGCCGACGTCGACGGGTCTCGCGCTCCCAAACCAACTTTCCCTACCGCCTCGTAGTCTCGGGCGGCACGTCATCGGACGGACCCCCAGCCACCTCGCAGCTCCTTCCATGGCGACTTTCGCGGCATCCCGCCAAACCCCAGCTTCGATCCAGCAACTGACGCCCCCTAGCAGTTCCCACGGCGCAGGAGGGTCGTGGGACTTTGCTGTGCCTGTCAACGATTCGGTACGTACCAAGTTCAGTCCCTGTGAAGCTGCGTCATATGGGTCCGGCTCGACTTTGCCTTCGCACTAAGTGCACTACTGCGCCTGTCCCCATGGCGCATCTGACCGCCAACTTCACCCACTCACATCCTGATTAACAAACTCGCCTGCAATCATGTCAAGCTACGAGCGATAGTGTGCTGACAACCATCCCAGAGGCAATCATATGAACAGGAGCCCTACATGTCTGAATACGGTGCTTCCGCCCACGGTTCTCGCCAACCCCTCACATCGCAAGCCAACGGTTTCGTCAAGCCTGTACGCTCGCCCACGTGGGACTCGCAGGATCTCAACCAGGCTCCCGACCGCATGAATGAGCTGCACAAGAAGAAGAGTGGAGACATGATTGCGAACAACATCGACCAGGATAGCGTGTTGGAGTACTACAAGAGCCACACCAACAACAAGAAAGGTCCCGTCGCCGTCAAGGGAAAGCCCAAGAAGAAGACGACAAAGTCTGGTGCAACAGAACCCGAGTATGACGAGAATCACTGGATACACAGAGACAAGCTCAAGGAGATTGAAACACGAGAACTCGAAGAGGCAGGTTTCAGGGTTGGCCGGTCGAGCAGATCCAACAGCCGCTCGCAAAGCGCCACACGACGTGCGCGAGACCGCACAAACTCCGCATCGACCGAACGGACACAGAACGGCGAAGAGCGAACCGAGCCCCGAAAGCGCATATCCACAATACCAGCTGAGGATGAAGAGCCGATAGAGGGCTACCATGCTTGGAGCCCAACATTCCCGGCTGACGGCACGACTGAATTTCAACCAAGTTCTCAGCGAACGAACCACACTGTGAGGCCTAGTACATCTCGCATTCCCCTGCCTAAGACTAGTGGTATACCTGTACCTGCTTCAATGGCAGAGCGTGACGCGCCGCTGCCGAGATCTAGAGCAGGTAGTGGAAACTGGAACGGTGATGCCATCGCTACCATGGGTGCACGAGTGCGAAGTGGTAGTGTAGGCAGCCAAGCGTTGCTCGATGATGCAGACGATGGTCGACAAAGGACTCCACCGTATGGTAGTGGCCATAGGCGCAATACTTCCACCGGAAGCTGGAGTCCGCCAAAGTCACCCCAAAAATCTCCTATGAAGGCCAAAACGCCCGGCAAACCGAACACTACCTCTGGACCACGTAAAGCTAGTGCTCAGACGAAGCCTAGGTCTCGCGTGACCTCCAATAACTCCCCTCCGAACCGTCCGCGTACCAGCGGTGGGTCTACTACAACAAGGCCCACTACAAGCAACCGACCAGAAGGTGAGGCCCCGTGGATAGCTTCCATGTACAAGCCCGACCCACGGTTGCCTCCGGATCAACAGATCATCCCTACGCATGCCAAGCGTATGCAGCAAGAGCAATGGGAGAATGAGGGGAGGGTCGGCTCCATGTACGACAAAGACTTTAGACTGCTGAACGATGACGACATGGCGGACAAGCGACTGTCGCAGCTCGCCAATCTTGACCCCATTGCTATAGAGAAGGCGCGGGAAGCTGAGACCTGGCCCCTTCCCAGTCCCGTGAAGCCAGACTCACCTGCATCGCTTGAAAGAGTTGACACCAACACTGCCAAGTCTCCAGTCAACGAGCAAGGTGCCTACAGTCTGACTCCGAAGATAACCCAAGGTCACGAGCGTGCTCCTTCACCAAAGTTAGCCCCTCCCATCGCGCCCGCCGAGCCAAAGCCTGCAGTGACTCGCATGCCCGAACCGAAGGAGGAGGTCAAGGAGAAAAAGGGCTGCTGCTGCATCGTCATGTAGCTTTCATTATTCCATATACCCATTTCCGTTCCTTACTCATACCAACTGCGTTCAAAGACAGGTTTCCTTCACTGTACGGCGTTCCTGGCGCACAGCCTTTTGGCTGGGTGGCTACTTTCCTCTCTATATTCTTCTCGTTACAAATCTGGGCTGATAGCGTTCGGCGATCATTCTAGTGTTTTCACTTGCTACTTTTCTCGACCCTCCGTACAGTTTGTGCGTTTGGCGTTTGTATTCTTTCATCTGACTTGGGATTCTTTACATCCATGAGTATATCTGATCGGGCGGACCGCCAATATTTCCTTAGTTTATCGTATACAGAGATAGGACGCTCATGTCCGAGGCTAGCAATGGCTTGAGAGTAGGAGGATGAGATATGTTTGGAGAAGACATGGCTACGGCAGGTCCAAGCAGCAGCGGTGAAGCTGCGTCGGTAGAATGTGCAGACATACAATGATAACAGTCGTCAAATACTTTCACTTTGTCTGACAGCCCGATACGATCTCGTCCGTTAATTAACGAACATGGTTATCTGTGCCTAGACGGGCCTATCTTGATCGCGTTGAACCTAGACTGCCTGCGTGTAGCAACATGTATCTTGTGGCTCGTATTACACACGCAGATATTGTCTAATAATAACAATGTTTCAAGTTGCTGACAGCCAAGTATCTTGTTGTCGATGATGGTTCCTTGATCTCTGTGGGCTCATTGATTTTCATGATATTCGGCGCCCTATTAGAGCTGTTCTACACGGTGAAAGCCTACCCTAATGGTACTCGTATAGTTTCATCTTGATAGACCTCTGAGGTGACCAGCGATGGAGTAAGTATATACCATTAATTTCCGCTTATTCAGTATAACCTCTACTGCATGTGCAAGAAGAGTGAGTTTTGCGTGTCGGGAGCGAAAGAAAACATGAAATGCGCTAACCACTTACCAATCGGGACTAGGGCTTCCCACACGGTCGAAATTGAGCTCGGCGAATTCCACAACTTTTTGAGCTTTCTCTTTATCATACACCACCAACTCTTCGAGGAACACCCGACAGATAGAAATCACCAATCATGGTATGTGGCCCTTTGTCTCTGCTCCGGGTTGAGTCGCATCTTCTCTGGCAAAAGAGAACGATGTAGCGCTCAGCACTGCTACCCCGCCCTTCGCACCTCAAGAACATCACTGACGACGCCACCAGTCGGACGGAGAAGACGATACCAAGTCCCAAGTCAGCGCGGCCGCCGAGGTCGAGGTCTCTGCCGATGCTTCCGGCGGTAAGGGCCAGATGAGCGTCCTCGAGGCTCTCAAGGGTGTCCTGAAGCTCTCTCTCATCCACGACGGACTTGCCCGTGGTCTGCGCGAGGCCTCCAAGGCCCTTGACCGTCGTGAGGCGCACATGTGCGTTCTCAACGAGGCTTGCGAGGAGGAGGCATACAAGAAGCTCGTCGTTGCTCTGTGCTCCGAGCACAAGATCCCCCTTATCAAGGTTCCCGATGGCAAGCAGCTCGGCGAGTGGGCCGGTCTCTGTACGTTGCACTCTCTGGTAGACTCTCAAAATTGAACAATGACTAACAGATCAATAGGCCAGATCGACCGCGAAGGCAACCCCCGTAAGGTCGTCAACTGCTCTTGCGTCGTCGTCAAGGACTGGGGTGAGGAGTCCCAGGAGCGCAGCATCCTCCTCAACTACTTCCAGACCGAGCAGTAAACGTGCCTCACCCGCGAGCGCGATGCCCATCAACATACAAATTTTTCGCACAACCAACCCTCGGCTGCATCAGTTTAGTCGCACCTCGGCATGACACGGAGCTTGGGACGTATGGCAGGGCGAATTTAGGGTTATGATGTGATGGGTTGCATGGATTTAGACAGGTCTCTTGGACCATGATACCAAATGAGAAAGGACTGAACGAACGCCAACACATCTGAATTTTGTCCATGTAAATTTGTGATACTATTGCTGTGAAGTTTACGATGTGTGGGTCAAATCGTAGGGGGAAATATATTTTCATCCCCTCCCACGTACTCCAATCGCTATGTACTTTGTTTGTTCTGTATGGTGTATGGATGGGAGCGAAAGTCATGTGGGACATGTCTTTGAACGTACATGACGACATGAAAGCCATACCCATTCTAGGCCTCTACGCAGTCTAAGTACCGCTCAGGCTGTTTCTGGATTCTTGAAGGTGGCGGGTACTGGCCGTCTTCTTTACGCTTTTCTCTGCCACAACATTAAGGTGAGTGAGAGACAGTTCAACCTCATCCCAATAACAATAATCTATATTCTTGACCTGCCCGACTTCCACTTGTTCCCTCTGCTATATGTATTGCTATCTGATAATGCTAATTCTTGCCAACATGCTATGCGAACGCTTCAAAAGTGCAGATGATGGATCTAAATTTCGACAAGCAAACAAAACTCGGCACGCCTAGACATCGCGAACGGTGCGACGTGGAATCTCAGTCTCTACCATTTCCAACCCGCTCAAACTAGGGTACCTCTTGCTGAAGGTGTCGACGTCAAAGTCATCACCACCGTCGCGGCTGACGGGCGGAAGTAGCTTCTCTTTAACTGTAGGGGCAGACTTGACAGGCGAACTTTGACCAGGACCTACTGAGCCCCCTGGTTGCAGATTTTTAGGCTTGGGGGCGCGTGGAGGCGGTCCAGAGGGGTTGCGAACATTGATTGTTGGCGGTGCTGAGGCGGAAGGCGCTGGTGGGGGCATATTCGGTCGGATCGAAGACGGTTTTGCGTAAGCAAGGTCTTGAGGCTGTTGCGAGGAGACATTCATGGGTTTACGGGCAATGGCGGGTGGCTGTCGCGCACCGCTTTGGTCTTGTGGCCGCATAGGTAGAGGTTTTCCAGTATCAGTATACTTCCCGTAGCCCTCAGCCGTACGATTGGACGCTGCTGGCTTGCTGCTTTCATCGAGCAAGTTCTTGACGCGGTTCTGAATCGACGAAGCCTTGGATGGGCCGGCTTTGGGCCCTCCCTGCCCCTGCGAGGCAACGCGTTGCTTGTACTCGGCAGCAGCAGCTTCAACACGGCGCTCTTCTTCAGCTAGTTGTCTCTTCTCGAGTTCTCTTCGAACCTCTGGTGGTAGATCCTGCGTTTCATCGATTTGGCTGCGATCGTCATCACTCAAGCCACCTGTAGCTTCGGAGCCGGCGATAGGAGTCAGGCCACCCTTGGAATCCATGAACTGGTCGGTTGGCGTCATGGGTGGTTGATCGCGTTCATGTTCGGGCGTCTTGGTGGATTCAAAGCGACGGAAGGCGTCGCCAAACCTTCCCTTGACGATGTTTGTGATGCTCCCGCGCTTGCCATGTTTGCCGTGAGAGCTACTCCGGCGATGCTTATGACCATGCTCTTCCTGTTCAATGGAGCGTAGGAAGTCGACACTCGACCTAACATTCTTTTCCTCTGGCTCGGAGTCGTCGATTGCATTTGCGGTGACACGACGCTGTAATGATGGAGCATCAAAGTTACGACCGGGAGCCATCTCTCGATCACGGAGATAATCAAGGTTTGACTCTACGTGCATACTGGCTGGACGTGCATTTGAGTTTGCAGATCTCGATCGGTCGATTGCAGAACCCATCTCCATAGCCGATGGGCGTGAGCTTTCCAGAGAAGGTCTAGAAGAAGCAGGAGATTGAGGAATGTTGAGCTGGGACTTTGATCTCGACTCAAAAGAAGGGCGTGCTGGCAAAGCAAATTCGGGTCGCAACGATGGACTGCTCAGAGGACTTCTTGGTCGACTCTCCGACGCCTGTTGGCTCAGAGCACGGTTGTGGTGTGTTGAGAGAGGCACCTTCCAGATTGGCCGGCTGTTGACGTCTGGGAGTTTCGGCTGTGCGGGGACGGGAGATGCCCGTGGCGACGTTTGGACACCAGTAGACACCATACCGACCCGCTGTGGGATGGGCGATTGGATGTTTGTGCTAGCGTTTCGTGGACTATCTTTGGCTTCGTAGGGTTGTGGTTTTCTCAGAGAGGTGGTCCTGGAGACGCCCGCGGAGGACACTGCGGATGAGGGCTTTACGCCAGGTGCTGAATCAACCTTGGAGAGCGGAGGCGATGCAAAAGCTTCATCCGCAAGTGCATCTGTCACACGCTTAGTAAGTGCTGGGTCAGAAGTCGTTGGTGCCTCGCCGAATTCAAACTTCTGGCCTCGGTCATGCAACAAGGAGAATTCGTCCAGAGACGGGAAGCGTGAGGCTAGCTCGTCAGCAGCAGCACGTCTGACCTGAACATCCTGGGAGTCGAGTGCAGCGAAAGGATCAGATGTCGTTCCTCTCATGGGCGACGGACTTGGCCTTGCTGCTGGAGGTGCCTGAACTGGACCAGTAGGTCGGCCTCTCCTCATGGGCGTAACGTCTGGTATTTGCTGAACCTGCACGGTAGGTGCAACTCTTTGTAGACCGACAACAGGAGGCGGCGAAGAGACTTGGGGCTCGGTAGGCGGAAGCTGCTGGTTCCGTCGCGCTTCTGACTGTGTTCTGCCAGAGTAGATCTGGCTAGTCTTAGCATGGGGCAGTAAAGCCAGAGTGTCAAACATACATCCTTGATAGGAATCGGCCGGTGTCGCATCGAGCAGACCTCGGCGACCACCTGGTAGATGTTGGGTCTATGCTGTGGATTCTCTCTCAGCATCGAGCCTGCTTACAATCAGTCACTGTCCATGGTCTAGTTAACTGCACGAACCTATGAGCTTCTTTATCCTGTCGGAGAACTGGGGGTAGGCTGGGTACTTGAACGAGGCGTTCAGGATGGCCATTTGTCCCACTTCTTCGAAAGGCGTCGTATAGTAGCATAATTTGTACAAGAGCACACCCAGCGCCCATATGTCGCTCTTCTCGTCTATTGGTTGTTTGCGATATACGTCGATCATTTCCGGACTGCGGTACTGTAGTGTGGTATGCCGCTGTACGTCGTCCTCGATCAATCTCCCTTCGGCGGCAGTTGTAGCGGCAGGTCTCGGCGGTGCAGTGGAACCAAAATCGCATAGTTTGTATATCTTGTTGCCTGCCACGGTAGTGATCAAGACGTTCTCGACCTTGAGATCGCGATGGAGGAGCGGTGGCTTGAGGTAGTGCATGGTTGCAACGCCCTCGACGACATCGGAGAAGATGTGCAGAATCTCAGGCTCGGTCAACCTATGCTGGAGCCTGGTGTTCATGAAGTCAATCAAACCGCCGCCTGAACAGAATTCCATGAGCAGAAATACTTCATAGCCCCCGGTCTTGAGCTGTGAAGCATGCGAGTCCATGTATGTGACGATCTTGCTGTGGCCCTTGAGCTTCTTCATGGTCTCGACCTCGGTCCTCATATTGGCGAGTGCATCTTTGTCTGCACAGGCTACCCGCTTCAGGACAGCCGTCTCGGGGGTCCCGTTGTCGGATTTGGGTACGCGGACAAGGTAGACATGCGCGAAACCGCCCTCGGAGAGGTACTTGTCGATGGTGACACGGTGGTTGCCCACCTGGACCTTGGTGCCAGGCGCAAAGGTGCCTGGAGGGGCATTGGAGACGGCGATGGGCGCTGGAGCGCGGTATGCGGCTTGCTGGGCCATGGGATGGGCGGCCGAGGGCGCATAGCGAGCGGTGGACATTTGGGCGGTGAGGGAGCCTGCTGCGGTGCAGGACAACGACGAAGCTATATCTTGCGCATCGAACTGGCAAGAGGTTCGGCAGGGCTGCTTCTCGGACGCGAGAAAGGGGAGGGGGTGGTGAGGTTGAGCAAAGGTGGCATGCCTGGAGATGCTTGTGATCGTACAGTAGTAAACGGACCCTTGCAACTACGAGCGCATGGACGAAGCCACCCACGACAACGTCACAATGTATCTTTAGACCACCACGCCTCGCCCTCTCTCACGCCGCATGCAGACCTGCTTGTCTGTCTCTCGCCGCCCCTCACACAACTATTTCAGTCTCGCACGCTCGAGCAGAGCCATAGTCCCGGCTTGTAGCGCCAAGCGGGAAGCACTTTATTCGGCAAAGTACCGTGCTTTCACTCCACGCGTCTTCATTGGGCAGAAACAACATGTCGAGATAATGGACAAAACATTTGTATTCTTCAAAGGACATGATATAGTTGGCGGTGCAGTACTAGTCTATTGCTTTTGCCCGGACTCCCGATGAGCCCTGGACAAGTCTTTGTTGCCACTGCACGACGTGGTCAGGAAGCGTCACCGAAAGGTAACGGTGAAGGAGGGTCAAGTCGGACCTCAGGCGTTAACCAGCCTCGGCGAGAGGGGCAGGGGGGCTGCTTCAACTACAGTCTGCTGCCAAAGACACACGGCCATTTCATCAGGATAGTACCACTGCTGCACCGACGCGACTTGGACGCGGCCATGTCATGTGACGATGGTGGGGGAAGAATGCTTAGGCGTGGGCTACTCCAGAGCTCATGACGGCGTGGTAGTGTGAGGGTCGGGGCTGGAAGCAGCCGTGATGCCGACGAAAAACATGGTGTGAAGCATTTGCCCTGCAGTGGAAGCGCGTTGGAAGAGGGATCGTCGTCTGGAACAGGCAGACAAGGACGTCGTGTTTGGAGCAGCGGAGAGGGGAGTGCAGGGAAGGACCTTGGCGGGATGCGACGATGGGCAGCGACCCACCCATGACTGCCCAGACGACTTGGTTCCCTCTTTACCTCCAAAGACGCTCGTGTCGTGTGTTGTCGCCTCGCTTGTTCCTATTTAGGAGCGTGAAGAAACTTGACGCTTCTTTCATTGACCAGAAGGCTCCGCACTGTGTTTGTTGCATCTGCAGAGTGAGCGGGCTGCCCAGTACACCCGCCTACCGCCGCGTACACCATCACACCGATCGAACAGGTTAGACCGCCCTGTTCACACTCTCTCACACACACCCCCACGACGACAACGACTTCCCTCAACTTGCCCGAATAGCTGCCCGGTTGATTGCGACCCCCGACACCTCCAAGATGCTGGCCCGACACACAGAACCGGCGCTGGCCCGACACCGACAAGGCAACATGGCGCGCTCACGACGAACCCAGAGAGACGCGAGTACTTCGCGCTCCGACTCTTCCGCCTCGACCTCTCCAGAGCGCGGCTATGACGACGAAGAAGACAAGGACTCCATCATGATGCAGTCCAACGACTCATTGTCATCACTCGCGCCCTCGGTATCGCCAGACTCAGACGACGAGGCTCGCCGGCGCGCCATCGAAGAGCAGAACCGCATCTCGCCCGTTTCCCGCTTACCCGCCGAGCTCATGATCGCCGTCTTCGCCAAACTCTCGTCCCCCGCCGACCTCAAGAACTGCATGCTCGTATCCAAGACATGGGCAGGAAACAGCGTCGGCCTGCTGTGGCACCGGCCTTCCACAAACAAATGGTCCAATGTCAAGAGCGTTATACAGACTGTCCAGACTGTAAACAGCTTCTTTGACTACAGCAGTTTGATCAAGCGCCTGAACCTGGCCGCTCTCGGCAGCGAGGTCAGCGACGGCACACTGAGGCCTCTTTCAAGTTGCAAGCGTGTCGAGCGCCTGACGCTGACCAACTGCACCAAGTTGACCGACTTGAGTCTGGAGGCCATGCTCGTCGACAACCGCTACATACTCGCCCTGGATGTTACCAACGTCGAGTCCATCACCGACAGGTCCATGCTTGCCCTGGCCAAACACGCAGTCCGCCTGCAGGGTCTAAACATCACAAACTGCAAGAGGATAACAGACGCTTCGCTTGAGGCTGTTGCCAAGAACTGCCGGCATCTGAAGCGCCTAAAATTGAATGGATGCTCTCAGCTCAGTGACAGGAGTATCATCGCCTTCGCCAGGAACTGTCGCTACATTCTGGAGATCGACCTTCACGATTGCAAGAATCTCGACGATGCTTCCATCACCACCCTCATTACTGAAGGTCCCAACCTCCGTGAATTGCGCCTGGCTCACTGCTCTAAAATCACAGACCAGGCTTTCCTTCGCCTCCCAGCTGAGGCTACCTACGACTGCTTGCGTATCCTAGATCTTACCGGCTGCGACGAACTACAAGATTCCGGCGTTCAGAAGATAGTCTACGCAGCTCCGCGGCTTCGCAATCTGGTCCTGGCCAAGTGTCGCAATATCACAGACAGAGCCGTCATGGCCATAACTCGTCTGGGTAAGAATCTTCACTACATACATTTGGGACACTGCTCGCGTATCACCGACGTCGGTGTCGCGCAGTTGGTCAAGCTATGCAACCGCATACGGTACATCGACCTCGCATGCTGTACCGCTCTCACCGATGCCTCGGTCATGCAACTAGCTGCTCTCCCAAAGCTGAAGCGCATTGGCTTGGTCAAGTGTGCAGCCATCACAGATCGGAGTATACTCGCATTAGCCAAGCCGAAGCAGATTGGATCTAGTGGACCCATCGCACCTAGCGTGCTCGAGAGAGTGCATCTTAGCTATTGCACCAATCTCTCCCTGGCGGTAAGTTCTCTGCATGTAGCAAAATAGTACCTTCACTGACATGAATAGGGCATACACGCGCTGCTTAACAACTGCCCCCGCCTGACGCATCTCTCGCTTACCGGCGTCCAAGCTTTCCTCCGCGACGACCTTCTCGCCTTCTGCCGTGAAGCGCCTCCGGAATTCAATGATCACCAGCGTGAGGTCTTCTGTGTCTTCAGCGGTGTCGGCGTACAACGCCTTCGCGTCTTCATGAACACCAATGGCCGAGACGATGTTGATAACGAGGAAGATCCTTTCACTCTCAACGACGGTACCATGTACCATGAGGATGAAGATGGCGATAACATGGTTGTGGTCACAGCACAAGCGAACATAATGGCCATTGACGAGGAAGACGAATTCGGTAATGATAGTGAGATGGCAGGGCAAGACTAGGGAGTTGGTGACTCGGTCTATAAATGTCTCTGCATCCCTAGGCATCAGCATCGCTGAGTATTCATCTTCGCAGTCTTCTCATCAGCATACATAGAGGAGTTTGGGCGGCGTTGTTAGTCTTTTCGGCATCTCTAGCGGCGCTATATGATATTATTGTTCCTGCAGACGACGCAGAACCGGACGGCTGGTCTTGATAGGACGCACTTTGGTGGCGATTATACCCTTACGCGTTTCTTTAGTATTTTGGTATGGTATGGGGGTACGGGGATGATATACAGAGGTACCCAATTTTCCAAGCCAGGAGCATCACGGATGCAAAGGCCGTACAGCTTATTGAAAACCATGTTTTACTTAGTCACACTGATTGTCACATTACGTATCCTGTGTTGTGTTTTTTTTACCGCCAGTATATTCATAAACCGACACAGACTAACAAACTTCCTTCAATCAACCCGGCAACTTCATTTCATCAACCCACACATACATCCACAGTCCGGTACGGGACACATGGCATGTCTGGCAAACCAGTCTCTAGCATGATGCCCATGAAAGCCGTGTGTACAATTCATACAGAACACCATCATCTTCGCTTCCTTGTCTTCTCCCTTGAGCGTCTCATACGCCCCTTGTTTGCTTGGGTCAGGTGAACCTAACCACAGCATGCACAATGCACATCTTGGCATCTGCGCCGCGCAATTGGGGCAATGCAGACCAGGTGTACTGGCGGATTTTGGCGGTTGAACGGGTTTCCCGCCTCCCCCTGCACCGCCGCCACCAAAGGACAGAGAAGGCGTTGCGCGATGTGTTGTCGTCACTGTAGATGGAGCATTGTTGTTTCCACCACCACCACCACTATGTTGGTTAGTAGTAGGAAGTAGCCTTCTCGTACTGTTTCTCGGATCTTTTCTCAACGCGAGGTTCTGCTGGCAATTCAGACAACGTAATGCTAGGCTAGGTTGACTGGGCTTATTCACACTGCGCCCCTCGCGCGTCACGCTGAGCAGGTTGTGCTCTTTGATGTAGCGAGTGCGCTCGAGGAATGTACGCCATATTTGTTGTTGCTCGAGGTACATGTCTTTCCAAAGGGTCCAGCGTGGGTCTTGGATGTAGAGTGGACAGGCACGGGAGAGGAGCAAGACGGCATTTTGGAGGCCCATAGTGGGGTGGTGGGAGATGTGGGTCTGCAGGAGGGCGAGGGAACGTGTTGTTAGGCCGGTTAAGAGGAGGGCGGAGATGTCACCTTGACTTGTTGCGGCATTTTCAGCTGCGCTGAGGAAGTTGGAGAGGTGTTGGTCTGGGAGATATTTCAATGCGACAGCTACACGGTCTGAGATGGACAGTTGCGGCATGTGAACTACACTTGACCAATCCCCTGTTATGAAGTAGGTGAGGAGGGATTTCAGGTATGCATTGCTTGTCATGTCAGCCATCCAGGCACAGGCTTCTCTTTGCTCGGCTGAGACGCCAGAAAAGGGGGAGGCGCAGGCAATGACGGCTGCAAGACCGATATCGTCTTGTGGGAGTTTCTTGTTTGTGAGGCTAGACCGGAGGAGATTCAGAGCGATATGTTTGTGGCCCTGGAAAACGGCGAGAACGATGGCTTTGTATATCTCCCCTTCATCGATAAGCCGTTGGCAATTTTGCTCTACGCCAATTTCGTTGAGAGACCAGCCGCAGAGGCTGAGACACAGTTGCCTATTCTCAGGGTACCCAGTGCTCACGCCTTCGAAAACAGGAAACTCCATGGCCTCAACTATCTCCTTGACTGCATCGCTGAACATCTCATGGCTTGTCTTCGTGTCTGGATCAATAAGTCTCTCGTCGTACATTGTCAACTCATTTGCCCAAATTGAGCTAACTCCCAGGTACTTGAGATCGAGACCATTGCCCACCATGCCGTCTCCTGCAGCGTGCGCATCCATGCGGTCAATTAGTGTCCACACATCGACCAACCAGGGATCGTTGTGAACAATGTCTTTGTTTTTAGCACAATCCAGAGAGTAGCCCTCTTGAACACGTCGTTTGGGGGCCTGAAGGACGGCGAGGTAATCGGTGAGGGGTACTTTAAAGTCAGGATAGGCAAGATCGAGAAGGTCCTTGTGCATGTGGTGACTGGGGTGTTTTGTCGAAAGGAGAGGTAGGCTTCTTTGGCTGTTGCTGAGGCTAAGCCTATCGACACTGGAGGAGAGGTTGGTCTTGTGGTCGTATTCAATATCGTACTTCTCGCCTAGCGCTCTGTTTTGTACTTGTATCAGGTCTTCTGCTACCGTGCCATATGGTGAAGTAGGCCTAGCGATACAGGTACGGTCTTTGTATATCTCTTCCAACGCGCTGATATTGAGGCGAGGAGGCGGAGGCGGTACTTTGAGTACTTCAACCTCCCGATTTGAATGTAGGGCTAGAGCGCATTGCCCACTTAGAGGGTTTCCAGCGGTCATAAAATCGTATGCCACGATGCGTTCTTTGTCATCTTGCCGATGATTCTTGTCATATGAAGGATAGCGTAGATGATGTGAGGCTTTCGTGTAGTATGGAGAAGCCCATGCTCGAGCGAAGGGTGTGTCTGCTGTCTCAAGAGGTTGATGGGAATGCTGCGCTAATTCAATGATTTTGAATTCTCCCGTGTTGGCGAGCACTCCAAATGTTCCTCTCTTGGTGCCCGAGTATCGAAGACTCCATATGGATGCCGATTGTGAGTTGTCCACAACTGGCTTGAAATCTAGTACCGCACCGCTACTTGCAGTGTCGTTGGCAGCTACTCGCTGCTTGACGGAGCGAATGTCCCAGACAGTCACAGTAGGATCACCCGCTGTACCTGCTGATAGGAAGTAGTTTTCGTCCAGCGGGTCTATAGCGATGTTGTGCACCTGACGCGTTTGAAATTGCGCAACACCCGTCGTACTAGAGTCTATAGAAGATGAGCAGGGGTGTATTGGCTTGGTTGTTTTTCACCCACCTCTAAGGTCATAGATGCGCACGTATTGCCTCGAAACACCCGCGACAAGCATATCAGGCTGTCCGGTGAAGAACTTGATACTAGAAATCGCCTCGGAGCTTGCTAGCTTCTTGTACGGTTCGTCCTTGGCGGTGACTCGAGAGTCATTCATGTCGTAGATGTTAAGGCAGACATCGTTCCTGACCCTATCCAACCCAGTAGCAAGTAGATTCTTAGCGCTGAAAGCAATGGAGTTGCACTTTCGTTGATGCCGGATGGAGAATGAGTGGATGTATTCAGCATCCGGCTTTTCTGGATCTAAAGTAACGACGGTGGCCTCCCCAGAAGCAGAGCCGACGGCGACCACACTTGGATCTTTCTTAGACCAGTCGAAGGCCGTGTAGTTTGGAAGCTTATCTCGGATACATATTTGCTTGTAATTGACCTTGCTCTTACTAAACTCCTCGATCTGACACAGGCGCAATCGATTGCCCGCGACGTCGATGATTAAGAAACGAGGATTGTCCCGTGTGGAGTGTGGTGACCATCTTATTGCAGCTTCCATATTACTGGCTGACTACCGCAACCTTGGGATCTCGCGATAATGGAAGATCAGGGTCCAGCAGCAAAGAAAGGAAGTTTCACAAGTCCACGATGTATTGGCAGGAGGGACTCGGAGCAAACGATGCGGTGCGCATGTTGTAGTACACTCGGCTACGCTGCGCTATCATGCAGGGTCAGAGAGTGTGGATGAACGCCCAACGCGTGATCTTGCTTGGCGTGCATGAGGCGGTCTAACAACCTTAATTCTGCCGCCCCACTAAAACTTCCCTTCCTTCGATCCCAAAGATTTCCGCAGCCGACCAACAAATCACAATTCATACAGTCCCAGCCAGCAAATATGTCGCAAAAGCGCAAGCATGCCGACGCGACCGAGCCGTCCTCGTTCACACCCAAACCTTTCAAGAAGCATCGCGCCTTCAAGCCCGGACAGAGCCACTCCAAACCGAAGAAGCGACCGCACGTTTCGAGCGATATCGACAAGAGTACCAGCACGCACGCGCTCAAGAGCCGTATACGAGACTTGAGGCGACTACTCGCGCACGTCGACAATGTAGGCGACCACAAGATGTCGGCGAGCAATAGGATAGAGAGGGAGAGGGAGCTCGAGGCTTGTCAGCATGAGTTACAGGAGAAGCTCGAATCTACCAGGGAAGCCGAGTACCGGAAGAAGATTATTGGGAAGTATCATCACATACGCTTCTTTGGTACGTCACGATTCACTCAAAGCGCAAGAAAATTCAGCCCCGAGCGATTGCTAACGCGCCTCAGACCGCCAAAAGGGCACGAGGATACTGAAGAAGCTGAAGAAGGAGTACGAGACAGAGGAAGACCAAACAAAGAAGCAGCATCTAGCAGAAAAGGTGCACAATGCCGAAGTCGACGTCAACTACTCCATCTACTACCCGCTCCTGAAGCCCTACGCATCCTTGTACCCAAAGTCCAAGAAGAGCAAGGCCTCGGACTCAGATGACGCAAATGAGGAAGATGTCGATGAAAAGGCGAATCGGGACGTCGATGGACCAAAAGGCGATCTGGATATGTGGAAATCAGTTGAGGTGGCTATGGCAGAAGGCACTTTGGATGCGCTCAGAAATCGCAAAGAGGACATGCCTGCTCTTGTACCGAAGAAAGAGAAGAAGACAAAAGAGCAGTCGCAACCGCAGCGAGCTGTCAAATTCAAGGAGAAGAAAGTGGAAGAGAAGCTGGCTGCAGCCAAGAATCGTCGCGAGAGGAGGGCACTTGGTGTCCAAGCCCAAGAAGAAGCAGAGGAGAGTGACGGCGGTTTCTTTGAGTAGCTTCGTGACACAGCACACTACGTACATCTGCATCATATACCCGGCGATCAATCGTCAAAAAAGACTATTCTGGAGCAAACACGCAAATCTCTCTACGTCTTCACATCCCACATGTCTTTGGAAGGATCCTTACGTCTACTGTCCAACAAGCCCCCTCGTCGTATTCCCACCCCCGTAGACCCTGACCGGATGCGCCTCAGTATTGTAGACCCATTCATTTACCCCATCCCTACTAACCTGCCACTCTGCGTCCCCCGCCTGAATAGCAAAGCTATACTTCAACACCTCTGCAAACCAGAAGCTCTCCTGAAAATCTGTGTAACCCCCGCCTCCAACGACATTTACATCTTTGATCGAGCTGTAACCACTGCCAACCCTCGTCGTCGCGTTGATTGCCACAAACGCATCCCATGCCCACTCCTGATACTTTGGGTCCGAAGTCGCGCGGTAGGCGTAGTAGTAAGACTCTATGACTTCAGGGCGGAGTTGGTACCCGGCATCTTCGATGAAGAAACCAGTCCTGTTGAAGAAAGCAGTCTGGTTTGCAGGTACGGCGGAAGTGTTCCAGGAGAAGATCTCAGGTCCGATGCGCGTGGCGGTGGAGATGTAAGTTTCATGGCAACCGTTAACAAGTTTGAGACCAAAATCGATGTAATCTTGTCTGTCTAGAACTTGGCCGCCTAGGATGAAGTTTCCGCCGTCGAAACAGGCGAGGTGTTGGGACGTCAGATCGAGGGTCGTGTTCTCGTAGGCTGCGAGGAAGGTCAAGTCTGGACGGGGTGCTGGGTTGGAGGCCAGATATGCGATGGAACTGTCTGCTGCTTTGACCCAACGGTCCTTGAGGAAGACGTAGCGTGGGTCATAAATGAACATCTTGATCAGATATTCGTAGAATGAGTCAGAGCCGCCTATCCATCCTCCTTGTGCATCTGTGAATTGCCCGGTGGTGACGTTGATTGTGGAGCCAAGGAGCCCAGGGAACGGTTCGGCGAAGTCTGGAGATGGGTAGAGGAGGTATTGCTCTGCCTTTTCAACCAGGTCTGCAAACGTTCGGTTTCCAGAGAGATCAGCTAGACGGACCCATTCTAAGATCAGTGTACCAACAGTCGCGAGTCCATTTTCTGATCCAACGTTACTTCGGTTGTTAAACGTAAGAACGTTCCAGGGCACTCCTGATGGTGTTTCGAACGCATAAGAGAGGTTATTGGCCAAGTTGATAGACTGCGTGAGTAGAGCTTCCACGTTCGCTGGATCATCTGCCAAGTGTGCCAAAGGACCAGACAGCAAATCGTATCCAGAGAGCATACCACCAAGGTAGCGGATCGTAGTTTCGAACAGGGAGACAGAGTCCTCAGTGAATGCCCAGTTGATGGTAGGGATGTACTCTATGATCTCATTTACAATATCTTTTTGGCCCATGATGAGCGCTGTGCTGAGAGCGTCTACGGCGGAGGCTCCCCACCCGTTTCTGAGACAACTTTAGCACCATCTCGTCTTAACCCGAATTTTGTTACATACCTTGAGTTACTACCGTTGTTGCTCAAGGGTCTTAGCTCGTCCATCGGAAACGCATACTTGCGGTACCCGTCCCAGCTTGTCCTGAAAGCTCCCACCACAGCCTGTGCCCGCTCATCGGATGACGACGGAGGTGAAGCATATGTCGGCGGAGGGGCTTCGTCCTGTCTCTTCGGCAGATCTACTGGTGTATTCGACGGTAGAGCCGACACCAGCGACAAGATGCCACTTCCAAGCGCGAAAGATGTGAGATGCATAATGACCAAACGTTTACTGTTCACGGATGTTTGCGGTTCCAAAGATGATTTATACGAATGTGTTGAGCAGACCTGGAGTACTTTTCGGGCCGGTCGATGTTCAGCTTGACGGAAGACAGGAACATGCAAGGATATAGGTCCTTTCCGAACCCAACACAAATGGATGAGGCGAGCACAGAGCAAAGTCGATGATGTCGCAAGAGAGGGGAGTTTGAGAGAACGGGCGGCTGGCCATAGTAGGTACTTACCAAGACTTGTCTATTGGCAAGTGCATCACGCTCACTGTCTACTGCAAGTCTCGCATGCAGGCCCATAACCCTGGGTACATCGGGGCACCATTAAAAGATCCATGTAACATCTGAAAGGGGAAGGTAGTAGCTCTGCGCGAACATACACAGACTCTGGCAGCGGATAACAAGAGGCTGGGTACCTGCGATCCCCTCGTGCTAGTGCCAGCCGAGCTCCTTGGATGTGTGTAGATAGCGCATGATGAGACAGGGTGACCGCTGCGGGGAGAAAAGCGAGTGGCTGGTAAGGTTTGTAGTATGCAGGCCCTTGTGCGTGCTATGATGCCGATCCATGAGTGTCTGGCTGACTTTATGCAAATCCCTGAACATGCATCATTAACTGCTACTGTCATCGCGATGTCTGCGTGACCTATGGCTTGTCGGCAGAAGAAAGCTCCAAGTGAACAAGCGATCCCACGACGAGATGCTTATAGAGCACGCCGAGATATGGTTCTGCGAGAACGGGTGCGGAGCCACTCAGGATGTCCATGTTCCTGGAAATGGCGGGGTGATCTACGGGAAATGCGGATGTATCGTGGCGCCAATCCCGCATCTTATTTCCACCTCTGTCATTGTGACCTAAAGTGCTTCTTCATGAACAGATTAGGCGTTGATAGAGCGTGTCGCTAGTACAGGACAAATCGCTCCATATTGAGTGTTGGACGTGTTTGCGCAATTTAGCACGCGGGTAGGCTGTGCACTTGTTTTATCTGTTGTGCGCATGTCATGATCGCCTGGGTATGTCATTTGCTCTATGCTGCTCGCTACTTGAAGACGCTACTACCAATATGTGCTGTGCAATCATGTCGGCTCGGCCCAATCGACCTGCTCTGTTACCGGAGCACCACCACCTGCCGAGTAACTGATCTTGAGTCGGAGCTTTAGTCTTGCTGGTGGTGGCTAGGTCTGTTAGCATAAGATCTCTAACAAAAGCATGTGATGACTGCTTACCCCATTAACAGCTGTGACCCTCATTTGCTGGGTCGCATCTTGACCTCCCTCCAACTCGCTACTGCTGATAGGTTGCAACTGCAGTTTTTGGCTTTTCGGAACGGCAGCCTGTAGATTCACACCTGATAGCTGACCGAAGCTTCCAGTATTGCGGAAGCGTGCGAGGAGTTGCACAGCATTGGCGTCACGCTTGAGCTGGAACGTGATCTGTAAATCATTCTTGTTGTATGCTGGATGCGCAGGTGGACCAGAAGCCGCTGCAGGCGTTGAAGCTTGTGGTGGTGGCGACGACATGCCACCGAGACCACCGAGAAGGTCCATTGAATTTCCTTGTGGTGGCGCGCGCGGCTGTGCTGGGGCTGGAGAGGTGCTAGGTCCAGAGTTGAAGAGGTCCATGATGTTCGCTACGTTTGATTGTGGTGCTGGAGATGAGGTCTGAGGCGGTGACGAAGATCCGCCCATGATATCTGCAAGCAAATCTTGACTCTGTTGAGTTCCGTTGGCTGCTCCATTCATGCTGCTCGACGGGCCTGCGTCGCCCATCAGATCCAGTAGCAAGTCTTCGGTTGCCGCTTGCGCAGGCTTCTTCTTGGCGATCTTCGACTGCCGTTTCTTGGTTGCTTCTCCCAAAACTCGTGACTCTTCACGAATTTCAGGGGGTGGCATCTTCTCCAGAACACCCCTCCTGATCTGGTCATGACCAAACAGGTTTCCGTACTCAGCCGCACGCTGTTGGATCTCAACATCGAGGTTTGCGGAATACCGTTGTAATAACCGCCGTAGTCGTTCAATTTGAGCAGGGTCGCTCAAACGTGTTGTCAGTTTCATAGAAGCTGTAACAATGTACTGTTGGACGATGAGACCAGCATAACTGCTACCCAATATGGTCTCAAAAAGATCGACGATGTCGCTCTCCTTGACTTCCTTTACAAGTTCCTCCTCTTCGTATTGACCACCTCTTAGTAGCGCATCGCCGTACTCTCCGATAACCCAGGAACCAGCCAGGGTAAGACCTTCCTGTGTGATGTCTTCTTTGAGAGCGGCATATAACTTCTGTACGGAGTAGGTTTGGAGGTCCGGTGTAGTGGCGATTAGTCGCACAAAGGATGACAAGATCTGCTCTTTGACGTAGTTTCCAGCCTGATGCACAAGGTTAGTCAGATCCACATCAGGTGGAAACTACAGACTTACGAGTTTCAGAACACGCAGCATGGTATCGACGTGCCATCTCTTGTTAGGTGCGAAGCGGTCCGCCGCGATTCCGATCTGAGAGGTCATGACAGGCTTGAACTCATTGTCGGCAACTTCCAAGAAAGCGAGCAGCTCTCTTATCAACGCCCGCACATTGCTCTCGTTGATCAGAGTGAAGCTGAGGTCGAGCGCTCGCCGTCTGATACTGATATCGGGATCACGCAAACAATCCAAGATAGTGTTGCGATGTCTTTGTACAGCGTTGGGTTCCACTGCGACAACTTTGATGAGAGTGTTGAGGGCAACATATCTGATGTTGTTGTCGCGGTTGGACAAGAACTTTCCCAGAATATTCACACCGAGTACGCGAAGTCCGGAATCCGCCTCGATATCGAGGATGGTGAGTACTGCCTCGTATAAGATGGAGTTGCCAACGTTCTTGGACGAATCCGTGTTGGTTGCGACCTGGGCCAGGATGTCGTTGATTTGTTCGCTGACGTGTGCGTCACCGCGGGCCAGAACTCGTAGCAGCTGGAGTAGCTTGCACTGCAGGAATGGATCTGTAATGCCCGTCACATCGTGCTCGGGCGCGTAGCCAGACGAGGAGAGCCCCTTGAGTATCTTGACCAGGCTGGGGACCGTGGGTCTGAAGATGTCCCTGACGCCGTTCTCGTCATCCTCGGCTTCGTCAGCCTCACAGAGGTTTTCCACTAGGGTGACGCCACACAGCAAGACGCCATGGTTTCGATCCTGTAGTAGTAACTTGGCCTTTTCCAGGAAATGCTCCTGCAAGTCGGGCACTTTACGACATATCCTCATGGCGCAGATTGCGGCTTTGCGGCGTATGTACGGGTTTGCACTCGATATTATCGTTTCGACTTCGGGGAATAAGTCTCGAGCCATTTCGACGGAGGCGATGTTGCCGAGAGTGCAGAGGGCGAGACCGACGATGTATTGGTTGGGGTGGTTCAGGTCGCTGCGCACCAGTTAGCATCCGACTTGCACAAGTGCTTCTGGTCAGGGCCTACTTCTTGAGCGAGTTGGTCACCAGCGTCAAGACTTCCTGGTTCTCGTCCAGCAGCAACATGGTCCCCAGGTATCCCAAGCGCTTGTCGGCGAAGCGCGGAGAGGCCAGCAGCTTCAGACATTCAATCTGGCCAAAGTGTGTCCTCTCACCCAGCGTGAAGAGATACAGTAGCTTGGCGACATTGTTCCTCCTCACGTTGGAGTCGTGGCTTTCCTCCCTAAAGCTCGCGCGGATCGCCGCACTCTCTTTTTGCACAACGGCACGCTCGTCGGCAATTGTCTTTGCAGCGCGCACATTTCGGATGAACTGCTTCACTGTATATCCTTAGCACATGTCCACAGCTGCTGGGGTCGCGGTGCTTGGCGTACAGGAAGCCATTGTGGTGGCCTCTTGGACCCCACCCGGACAGCGTTAATGGATTCGATAGAGGGATGTTGTGGGAGGACAAGAGGTGAATTCGGCCGTCAGTCGGAAATACGAATCAGTCACGGGTAGCTCTGCGAATTGTTGCTGCTGCGAGTTGGTAGTCGGCAACGTTTGGGCATGGCCTACAGCTGGCCGGGCCGTCATTTGTTCCAGATGTCGGACGCACCTGCCACCGACGACAAACAGGCACAAGCAAACGTGTTTTGCACCACTGCATACTCGGCGAGATGCAAGCTGATAATGACCTCTGGCTGTCCTCGTCACCGTGTATTCCGCTATCCAGCCCCCAGCCACTTCACTTGCCACGAGACGTTGCGACTCTTGGGGTTGCTTCCAACATGTTTGCCCTGACTCGCGCGACCGCTGATGTAACCGACCCTTCTACCGTCGATGCCAACTCCCCTAACCGCTAGGTCACTGCATCAGCAGACAGCATGCACTTGCATAGTCCTCGCACGTCTGCACGTATCAAATGCAAGCCTGTTACTGTTCCATTACCTGTTTCGTGGCAAGCGCTTGTCCAGAGTCTTGTCTGCCACTCACTGCCCCATAAGACGAACAGCCTGTGACCCTGTTAGTTTGCTGATCATAGACTGGCCTGACCACATCTGACTGAATCCTCCTTCCCACTACACATCCGCGACATGCGCACACACCTCTCTTCATAATGGCCGAGTCTACGTCTTATGACGCGACTGCTCACAACGGGAACACAGAGTTCCACTCGCCGCGACCGCGCAAACCCACGAGGATCGATTTGCTCAAGCCTCAACTTAGCGATGAAGCGTTTAACAAGAATGGCACGCTCCGGGAACCTGGGTCCGGCGTCTCTAGGTATCAGAGCCAGTGCTGTGGAGGTGGTACATAGCTGACCTTTTCCAGTGGAAGAAGTACACCCATACCCCCAGATGCCCCGCCTTCCGTCCAGGCTTCCTCTTCAGCGCGGCGACAGATACGCGCTCAGCGCAAGCAGCGCATGTTCCCTACCATCGACTACGTAGATCGCGTCTCCCACTTCGACCCAAACAGCGACTATCATGATTTCCGCGGCTTCTTCGTTCTGTTCTGGATCGGACTCGCCATCATGGTCCTTACATCGATGCTACGAAACCTGACTGAGACGGGATATCCCTTCCAGATCAGACAGTGGGCGCTTTTCAAGGAGAAGGTTGTCGAGCTTGGTCTGGTTGACGGTGCCATGGTGTTCAGCACCGCTTTGTCGCTGCCCCTGCAGAGACAATTCCTCAAGGAAGGGCTCCTGCGTTGGAACGCGTCCGGTCTGGTCGTACAGAGCATATTCCAGACAATATGGCTAGCTTTCTGGACTACGTATGCTCGCCCTGGCTCTGGACTGTACTGTAGACTGACCAATACAAAGATACCCTTTCATTCGCGACTGGAGCTGGACTGCCCAGGTCTTCTTCACTCTGCATCTACTTGCAATCTTCATGAAAATGCACTCCTATGCGTATGGATACAATTGTCTGCGAAATCGAGTGCACAACTAACGCAGACAAGATTTTACAACGGTCATCTTAGCGAAACCCTACGCCGCTTGAACGATCTCGATACACCTGACAAGGCTAGCAAAGTAGCCGCGGTTCGCTATCCGAGTTCCAGTACTCATCTGCACGAGATCCCACAGTCTCCCTCCCAAGAAGAGCCCGATCCTAAAAAGGCAAACGCAGAGTATTTGAGCCAACTGAGAGAAGACCTCGCGTTGGAGCTTGCTTCGCCTCTTGGTAACGTCTCATACCCCAACAACCTCACCCTCTACAACTTTGTCGACTTTGTCTTTTGTCCGACCTTGTGCTATGAGCTTGAGTATCCTAGAAACGCCAGTATTCGCTGGTTGGAGGTCTTCTACAAGACTCTGGCCGTATTCGGATGCATCTTCCTAATGATCATCACTGCAGAGGAGTTTATATTGCCGGTGCTCGACGTATCAGCTGTGCGACTCCAAAACTCAAATGGCGCTACAGATTTCACCTTGATTCTCAGCGAGACTATCGGTCGCCTCCTTTTCCCTTTTATGATTACCTTCCTGCTAGTCTTCCTCGTCATATTTGAATACATCCTGGGTGCCTTTGCGGAGATAACTCGTGAGTTTCTACCATCAAGCCTAGTAGCTGCTATTAACAGTCAATACAGGTTTCGCCGACCGCCAATTCTACGCAGGTGAGTACACGCGGAGCATATAGCGGGAGTTCCGCAGTCTAACATATCATGCAGACTGGTGGAATAGTTGTGACTGGCTCGAATTCTCGCGCGAGTGGAACAAGCCTGTGTAAGCTATGCTCCTGTACAAATTGCATGTCATCTGAAGCGTATACTGACTTGACACACCAACATGCAGTCATCATTTCTTCCGAAGACATGTCTACTCGGCCTCTAAGAACCACATGTCGCGTCCTCTTGCTACGACAATCACCTTTCTCATTTCGGCTCTGGCACACGAACTAGTCATGGGTTGCATCACAAGAAAGTTTAGAGGCTACGGATTCATTGCGATGATGCTTCAGATGCCGATTGTGATGCTGCAACGAAGCAAGTGGGTTAGGGGCCGCACTCTGTTGAACAATGTCCTTTTCTGGTGCAGCATGATCTTAGGACTCAGCATGGTAAGCTGCCAACTGGATATGTATCCAACAAGCACTAACAAATGGACAGATGTGTGCTTTGTATGTCCTTGTATAAGTCGACGGGGATTCAGCGCCTGCATGGCGCGGATTAGACTAGATTGGATTGGATTGGATTGAATTGGCGCACTGTCTAGACTTGCAGAATACCCCTCTCTACTACGTTGTCCAGTACGCTTAGAATGGCATGTTAGACTTGTGTTAGACATGTATAGCGTGTTCCATGTGTAATACATGGGTCCAAAAGACTGGAGGAGTGAAAGTCGCAATTTCGCAAGCCTCTCCGGACGTGTCTTAGTGTGACGTAGTGGCTACGGGCGTATTCGTATGCAGGGTGGCCAGGGATACGTCGGTGGAGGCGGGCGACCCCGCGTCCGGTCTCACGCGTCGCGAAGGAGCGAGCGGAATGCAGGGATGACGTCGTATCAACAGTACCTGCGAGAGCGAGCATGCAGACAGGTACCGTATGTCCTGGAAGCTTTGCATCTCGGCATACTGCTCGCCTAGTTCACGTCTGTTCATTCTTAGTCTTTTTTCAAGCTCCATCTGAAATGCAAATGAGATCAAATAAATCGCAGGTAATGATTTCATCGCCCGTCACCGGACCTTACTAGCTGGCACCACGGCTACGTCGGAACATTCACAGCGGCGCGCATATAGCTTGACAGCAGCCACAAACAGTCTAGGTATTCTGTGGCTTTGGCTCCTTGGTCGCATCCTCTACAGACATTGTTAAAGCCCGGCCTTTACTCTATCGTAACCATGGCGGAGCTCCACGAAGCGCTCGCGTGCCTCCGGCCGAAAGAGTTCAGCGATGTCCCTACCGACAACCTCGAAGCATTCCTACCCGACATACTTGCCAAAGCGGAAATCATCGCCAATTCCGTGCCTCCACCGCCCAATGGTACGCCATACGAGTCGTCGCAACGAACCCGAACCGAGCAACAGCCTGCGACAAGCTCCAAAGACCTCACCATTTCGCAAGTCCGACGGCCACCGCCCGCGCCAGAGCACGAGGAGCTACAAAAGTCGTGGGGAAAGCCGGTGAAGCTGGGTAACAATGAAGCCGCTACAGGAATGAGCGTCTTCAAGATGGCCGGAAAGGATCGGCACGGAGCCTGGTTTTCGCGGTCGAGCGTGCATGAAGGGCTCGGCTTCGACAAGTGGAAGCGCGCAATGAAGAGCGAGTTTCCCGAGAGTCTCCAAGTTCAGGGCGGCCCGGGCGAGGGCAATATAAGAGGCATTGGAGGAGACCAGAGACTGGAGGACATGACGGTAGATGGCCTGGGACAGCTACAAGGTACGTGATACCACGTATGCTCACCCACCCAAGATAACTAACAAGACGACAGTATACCAGCTGTCCGCCCAGTTCCCCGGCCCGACCTCGCCGCGAGAGTTCATCACCCTCCTCATTACCTCGGACACATGTCTTACCGACGCCTCCAAAGTCGCCAGCTCGATACCGCGACATTTCATGGTTGTCTCCATACCCTGCTCACATCCGGATGCGCCGCCGCGAACCAACATGGTAAGAGGCTTCTACGAATCGATTGAGATGATCAGAGAGATACCCATGGGCGACGGTGACGCCGAGACTAACCCAGTCGAGTGGATAATGGTAACGCGCAGTGATCCCGGTGGTGGCATACCCCGATTCATGGTCGAACGGAATGTCCCTAGTAGTATAGTGCAGGACGCCGTCAAGTTTCTTGACTGGGCATGCGCAAAGGACGACGACGTGGAAGCCGAAGTAACGGCAGGCACAGACCGCTCCGCAGAAACACCCAAAGCGCACGATACCGAGCGGACTTTCTCTCCCACCGAGGCCAATGGCATGGGTGCCGGCGTAGGAACCAGTATAGTAGATAGAACTGGGGAAGCCGGTAGCCAGTACAGCCTACGACGCACAAGATCTGACAGCTCTTCGAGCACCTCATCTTCTGCAGAATCATTTGCGTCCGCTGAGCAATTCACCACTGCTCGCGATGGCCTTCCCATCGACAGAGAGATCCCGACACCATCGACCTCGTCACAACAGTCTCTGCCATTGAATGAGGACACCCATCATCATAAAGGGCTGCAAAAAATTGAAGAGAAGAAGGAACAGTTGAAGGCAAAACTCGAAGAGGCTCGTGAGAAACATGAATCGGGTTTGCAAGCTGAGACCCAGAAGACGGATAAGGAGATGCAAAAGGCAAACGAGAAGCACGAGAGAGAGAAGAAGAAACAACAGGAAAAGTTTGAAAAGGAAATGCGCAAACTCGAGGAGCGCCGCGAAAAGGAGACACGGAAACTACTCCTTCGCCAACAGAAAGAAGCGGATAAGAACCAGCTTGCCAAAGCTCAGCGGGAGCGAGACGAGTATAAGCAGCGCATGGATATATTGGAGCAGGAGAACAAGTTGCTTAAGGAGCAGATTGGAGACTTGCAACACGAGAACACGGCGCTTGTCTCTCGTCTAGGAAAGACCGAGGAAGGCATCAAAATCTTGAGGGCGATCAAGGAAGGAGAGAAGGGTAGGACTAGAGCAAGCTCCAGGACGAGTATAAGCTCTGGGAAGAGCGGAATAAGAAGCAAGGGCTCGAGCGATTCTTCGAGTACGCTACCGAGGGCCGGGACAACGAGTTTCTGAGTTTGAATATGGTCACCAGGCGTTGATGCCTTTTCTTCCTCTTCTTTGATCTTCTGTGTGACGTACGTTTAGCGAACAGGCAAGGTGTGGCGCAAATGTGGGCAATGAATCGATATAGACTGCACAGCAACCAATGTGGATATTGAGTAGTAATGACAATGAAGGGCAGAAAATGAACAGAATGCTTAGAAGGGGCGCTCTTAGCTTAAGAAGCGCTTGTCAAGTGGATGCATGCGTAATCCAGAGATGCATCTCCCACCAACCGGCCCCACTTGAGCGGCATTCTCTATCTTGATTAGACATTTTGTTTGGATAATTTCTCGTGGTCTACCAATCTCCCTTTCTTTTTCCCATATGTCTTGACTAGTCGACCGTAGCGATGCCAGAATAGATCATTCTTTATGAAGCGAGTAACGCAGACGTTCTTGGCGAATGACGACCTTTGCGGCCCGATAAGCGGACATCCCTCCACGGTTACAATACACAAGCCTCTCGATCCTTGTGAGAAAACAGCCAACACCTTGTGCGACTTTAGTTGCCTATCCAACATTGGTAAAAAGAGGATACAGGCTATCTGGCGGTGTAAAAAGTAGTCGACAGACGAAAAGAAGCAAACACTCTTCCCCACCCACCATCTGGAAAATCAGCACCAACCCTTTAGGGTTTCCATTTCCTGCAGCGAGCGATTCAGGGTACATCCGCGATACTCAAGGAAACTTCAGGACGACTCCTCACCAGTCGGTCTCCGATCCATCTGGAATTGTATCTTCTTGCAATGGCGGCCCCAACAACAAATAGCACATACATGACTCCCGGCATAGCACCACGAGCTTCAGGCTTGGAAGGCGATATGAAGCCTACATTACTTGCTTTCCATGGCTCAGGAAGCAATGCGACGGTGCATACAGTCCAGTTAGCAAGATTGATGAGGGTGATTAAAGGACATTTCGAGGTCGAAAGTCTAGAAGGTAAGTACACCGAACCACCAACGACCTCTTTCCATCAACACCACATCACTACATTTGGCCCTTGGACATCTAATTCCTCGGATGATTGAACAATCTGACCAAACCTTCCAGCGCCGTTTCCTTCCCAACCTGGTCCAGGTGTCCTCCCTTTCTTCGAAGGCTGCGGCCCTTTCAAACGCTGGATGCAATCCACCGTCACCATCTCCGATATGAAAGCCGGAAACTCTACAAACGCCATGTCACCTGAAGTTGAGGATCTCGTTCGTACTACCGTCAAGCGTATCAACTCCAGCGGTGGCAAGGTGGTCGGTCTGATTGGTTTTTCTCAAGGCACCAAAGTCGTCGCCGGCCTGCTCAAAGGCTGTCAGATGCGTCGCGCGCTCGCAGACAAAGGAGCCGATGTAACAGAGCTTGATCATCTAAATTTTGCTCTTGGACTCAGTGTCTGTGGTTCATCCCCACCGCCGCTAATTCCGCCCTCTGTTACAGCAGCGCTTGAAGCGTCCGGGATGAGCGAGGAAGAGCGGAAGGAGCTGTTAGCGAAGAAGATTGAATTACCGGCATTTCATGTTCAGGGCTTACAGGATCAGTGGAAATGGGCGGGGCAAGGATTGATCGATGGGTGGTACGAGATTGGTGAGGGGAAGAGTGTGGTCAGGCACTGGGAGCAGGGCCATCTTTATCCAGTGAAGCCGGAGGAGAGTGAAGAAATCGGAGATTGGATGCTGGGTGTGCTGGGCCTTGTAGAAGGTCAGATGGGAAATCAGGCGCGGTAACAAGAGATTGGGCATGTGATGAGCGTTAGGAGCATGGGGGTAGCAGTGAACATTGCGCGGAATCAGAGGTAAGCGTGCTTTGGCTTGTTGTCCTAATAGATCAATAAGGCTGGAATTAGTAGCCGCGCAAGATGTTGTGTGTGCTCACGTCCCTGCGTTGCGCGCTTCATCCAGAACCATGAATGGCAGTACTAGAATACTTAGCAATTCGATGTGTATTACTCAGGTACGTGAAAGAGAGATCCCCGCACAGGATCATCAAGACATAAAGCAGATGAAACCAAGCCAGGAACCGTGCTTTACATCCTTGAATGCTCCCAAAGAAGCCACTTGCGCAAAACAACCAAGAATACGAAGAACAAACACCATCGAAAAAAAGGTCGTGTAAGAGTAACGCTTCTATTCAGACTTTGTAAGAAACCTCTAACCCAAGTACAAGTGACACATTAGCCTCTTATTAAATATCAAGCCAACAAGACAACTGCATGCCAATCGGCAATCTAATCAGTCGCAAGGACGTCGCTGTTGGCAATCTCGTTAGCAGCGAATGCGGCTCATACCAGCTGTAATAGCTCACGATCGCACCTCAATCTTCTCTATACAGTGCTGCGGCGTACCAGCCAACAATAGGATAAAACTCAAGACGATTTCAACCAGCTCAGCTGTTACACATTCTGTTGGATTCTACCAGCTTCCATCTCATGTACAATCAGTTTGTACCGAACAAGCAGTATAACTAATTGTTCCTCTCTCTTTGTTAGATATGCCTATAGATAGGGCACCTGTACGTAGTTCAATAGAATCATCTCAACTTCTTATTCTGATCCAAGACATTCCACTCACCAGAGCCGGGGGTGTAAGCAGCCTCTACTACCCTCAAACACGACACTAAAGAGATAAAGCAAAGACTGCGCGTAACAATTACTCGGTAGGTAGCAATGGAGAAAAGTGCAAGACTCATGGCTTCGTGTTATGCGCTGCTGAGATCAGGGAAGCAGAGACAGCGATATAAGGAAACAATCTAACAAACAATAACAGCGTAAAGCATAAGATGTGAAAGTCTGGGATAGCAGCACCTTAATCGCTCTTGCATTTCCGAGTCTGAACATGGCACAGTCAGTAAAAAGCCCTCGTGATGGCCAGCATGCGCGGAGGGTAGCGCCGTCCTTTCCAAATGTCGTCGTTCCAATCGCGTCATTTTCCTCTCGCGATTCCGATGTAACGATGAGGCGATAACGTCGACTTCCTGCATGGGCTCATGTCTATACGGGAAAGCAGTGCAGCAGACGGAAATATTACCGTTGGCCACTCATAGGGTATCGACGTTGAGAGAATGATATTTACAGAAGCAACGATTATATATAAGAACGCAAGGTCGCGTTCTGATGAGACTATGCGACAGCGCGATTAATGCTAGTGTAGGCGCCATTGAATTCAAAGGCATTCGCCTAACTAAGGCTCAGTAGTGACGGTTGTGACCGGCATTGCCTTACTGCAGCAAAGTCAACATGTAGTGAGATATAGGGATCGTCGACTCGACTAACCATATGTCTCTCAAGGTTTCAGGAGCAAGTTGATTTGAATCTAGTCAGCTCATGGTCCAAAATAAGTCCGAAATGACTACAGGTTAGCTGGGTACTTACCCCAACTGGCTCATGATTTTTCTGCATGTCGCACGCATTGTCAACCGACGAGCGGGATGATCCACCGAGATGATGCTCCGAAATCCCGTTGTGAACTTACTTTACATGTGCTACGACTTCGTTTCCAGGTTCAACGGCCCTTCTAGGTATTGAGCGACTGTAACTCGAGCTAGTTTTGCAACGGGACGCGTACCTAGTGTATAATCCTTCTCCGGCGTTCTTTCCTACTTGGAACATCGCGCGCGAAGCGACACGACAGTACATATAGCGACACCCTATTCTTCCGGTGGTATTGTAAGCACCAAGTACATGTGGAGTAAACTTGCATCGTGTAGTGGCATGTCGGAAGCTGCACCAGCCTATACGGGAAGACTGACAATACTGTGGGGCGATGTGGGGCACAGTAGATACTATGCCGAGGCGCGACCTTAGGTAGTCGAGATCGTGGACAAATGCTTATCGAAATTGTATTAGGAACAAGTACAGTACTCAGCTTAGGGAGAAGACAAAGGGCGTGCGTATTTTTCAAGTACAATGCCGCTAAGTTGGGCATGGGAAACGACACGACAACATGAAAAGGCTTTTGTGATGCAGCAACGGCTGAGCCGCGTCAACCCTGCAATAAAGCTTCATCGATCTCCCAACCTTCCCAAGTAGGGTTGTCGAAACCGTTGGGGCGGGAGCTGCGCAAGAAGCCGTTCCAGTAGCCTTCGATATCGACAACTGGCCGGATGGTCCTAACGTTGGCATTGAACCCCTTACTGAAGCATTCCTGCATATGTCTATCCTCGAACAATTCGGGATGTGTTCGTCTCATGGTCTTCAGTGCTCTCTTTCCGACCTCATCTACCGAATCGTGATGTCGCAACTGAAAGAACTCCTGGTCATGCTCCTTCCTTAGCTCAGCCATTATATGCTCGTCGTAAAGTCCGAGTTGAAGTAAATATATATCGTACTGGCATAACGACGTGGTGCCTAGATAGCTCCCGCCAGCCTTCGCTCGTCTGTGTAGCCCGACAAGCGCAGCGATGGTGCCCATGCAGCCTGTACCGTAGTCGCTCATGGGAAACGGTGGAACGACAGGCTCATTCAATCCCATTGCTTGACCCTGAGCCCAGGCCACACCAGTCACGCAGTCTGCAATTTGCTGCCAGCCTGGTCGTGATGCCCATGGTCCAGTATGTCCGAAGCAATTTTCGGCAACATAGACGAAGCCCTTACCGCGCTTCTTGGCAAGGTGGAGGAGCTGTTGGGGTCCATATCCGAGGCGATCCAGACTACCAGGCCGGTAACCATCCAAAACTACATCTGCAGACTGTAGAAGTTCTTCGAAGATAGCTCGATCTTTTGGCTCCTTCAGATTCAGGTCGGTAGTGTGCTTGCCAATGTTTGCATCCACTTGGAAGAAAGGCACGTCGGAAAGGTTCGGCGACGTGACTTTGATGACCTCAGCGCCGTATTCGGCCAGACCACGACCCATTGCCGGGCCCGCAATGATGCGACAAAGTTCGAGGACGCGGATACCGGCAAGGATTTGTGGCTTGGGCGCACGCGACGACTGGAAAGGAAGAGGAGTCGCGGGAGTTTCAGTTTCGAGCGTTTCTACTTTCCAAGGTGGTTGTTGAAGGAGAACCTGTCCGTGATCGGATTTCTGGAAATCCTCCCATTTCAGGCAAGTTACCCCGGCTTGTCTGATCTTTGAGTTCATTTCTTCGAGCTGTTCGGCAGTGTATTGTCTGACATGATCCTCGATAATCTGGATACATTCATGATATTCTGTCAAATCGGGCCGTGATCCTTCCAGACCAATCATGTTGAGCGCTTTGGTTGCTTCAAGAGAGCCATGAAGATGGAAGTATTCTCCTGGGTTTTTTGTCTGGTAGAGGTTTGCCGACAATCTGCGGTAAAGAATAGACTGCGCTTGTAGAAGATCGGTGTCTGTCTTAGTCAGTGACGACCATCACATGCTAAAGCAGCAAGTCAAACCTTTGAGTAACTTCTTCGCTTTTGGGTTTGACTTATCGAACCCTCCTACAGTGGCTAAGTATGTTGAGAATAGAAATGCGGTTGCTCTTTCGAGATCCACAGCAATGTTCCGTGGCCTCTGAGCATGTTGTAGATCAGCTATAGCAGATGCAACTCCTGCTTCAACTGCCTTAAGAGCTGAGATGGCTTCCGTTTGCTTCAGTGGACTGGGAAAGTAAGGGCTTCCTGTATTGGCAGTCGAAAACTTGACGTTGGCAATGTGAGGCAGCGACTCTTCGGGCAGGTTTTGCCTCGCCTTAGTGATTAACTGTTCTAATGCTGATGTGGTGCCCGCCAATAGGGTGTTGGCTTGTGTGGCGCATTGATGCTGATGACTATCGGTCCCCAAATATGGAGCCATGTTGAGTGATGTAAAGATTAGACCAGATGGGATGGAATGGCAGCGAAGGGGTTTTCAGGTAAAAGACTGGTTGCCCTTTCAAGAACGGGCCGAGGGAATTGCTGCTTGGTGACGGCTTCGGTGTTGAAAAGTTGATTAGCGGCATGTCGAGCATGGTGACCGCTTGCGATCGTGGCAATTGCAATCAGCGTCGGCTAGCAGGTGTCCTGCACGTCAACGGGTTGAGTCTAAAGGGCGGGCTGGGCTGGGGTATGAACGTGCCGCCGATTTCGTGATGATCGGCAGACATCAAGCGCTACTCGATTTTCGGAACAGTGGCAGCCCAAGCTTCGCGGCCTCGCGACAACCGCGAAGCAATTACCACCCATTTTCATCAGCGAGACCACCTCAATCATACTGTAACCGTCATCCGTTCATCAATCTAACCAGCAAAGGCTGCACGGGGCTCTTTTCCGGGTTGTTTTTCCGTAGTGTTATGGGACTTCCGTGACTCGCTCTCTTCATTACCGCGAGTGCATCTTCCGACCAGCTCATCCATCCGTCGCGTCGGCAATGTACTCCCAGGCATTGACCATCCGAATTCGCACGTGATAGCGATTGCTACCTAGATACTGCCGCAGGCCTTATACAGTAATGACGCGACCCAAGGTCCCACCAGGTACGTCTGCGCTCGTACCGGCGAAACACACGGCTAATATGACGCGTCCTAGACCAACGACAGCGTACGGCACAGGCGTGCGAAAGTTGCAAGAGAAGAAAACAAAAGGCAAGTCAAGCTCTCAGACTCGTCAACTGCTGCATCATGAGCCTATGTGCACTCGGTTATGAAAGCCCTTGGCACAGATCCCTGTCAGCGTTCACGACCTGCAACTCTCTGTTCTTGCATGATACTGCGCTAGCATATTGATGTTGTCTTGCACACCGATCAAGCTTCGCTGCCTGCTTAGAGCATTGCGGGAGGCTTTCGGTTAGCTCCGCAACCCCATAATTTTCTTCAAGAGCATAACGAACTCTGTAGTCACGCATCGCTTTGTAATCGCAGATATCATCTGTAGATCAGATCAAATCGGCTCCTTCGCAAGATGACTCACGGACACGTGAAATCACGTGCTCTGCCTGGTAGACCAAGACTGACGAAACAAAGTGCAACGGCTTATGCCCATGCAACACGTGTGATAAGCGCAAATTCACATGTACATATGCGGATCGGGATCCTAATTCCCCGAACGAGGATGGACCACCCACAAAGAGACGCACAATTGAGAACAGCAACGAGAATGACAACCCGTCGTAAGTACTTTACGTTCTACTACACTATTGCGTTTGTAGAATCGTATAACGTTGATACTCCTTTTTGAATCACTACGTCCCTGATCAACACTGCCTACTCAGTCTCAAATACAATCACTGACTGTCTCCATAGCCTGAATGAAAACTCGGGTACGGACACATCCAACAATGAGCATACGCAGGCAAACCCGCTGTTGTCGCATAACCGAACGTCTTCCGGTACTCGTCCAAATCACTTCGCACGCACACTCAGTGTAAAGCAAGAAACACCATTCAAGTCGCCAGGCCCCAGACCAAGCATTGAGCACACAGGTGTTCCAATTGATCGCCTATCTAGCAACCTTGAGAATGCACGCGAAAGACCTAATTCCACGAATGTTACTACACCTCACGATGGTGCGGATGATGTGGCGGAGTTCCCAAGCCAGAGCCGTATGCTACAAGATCCAACCGGTCGAGTGATATATATAGGCGATGCAGCCACCTTGTCCTTTCTCCAGCTCCTCCGGATGATGGTCGAAACGGTAGCCGGTCCATCACCGTTCACAACTGACCCTCGACGACACAAGATAGTCGAAGGCCAATACTCGCTCCCGTTGGGTTATCGACACACAAGTCTCCTTCCAGACGAGCAAACGGCTCGCCTGCTCGTAGATGCCTTTTTTGTCAATACTCATGGCTTGTTGCAGGTATTCCATCGTGACTACTTTCTCGAGAAATTAGACCATTGCTATTCCGATCCACTATCTGTGGACGCCTCCTGGTTATGCCTACTCAATCTAGTCTTTGCTATTGGACTGACAATGGCTACACCACTTTCAGGAAGTCCTGAAGCTCTGATTATCGACAAGCTTCGAAGCGAGCACCTCGATAGAGCCGAAGCGTTCTACCTCAATGCTAAGAACATGAACGATCCAATGACTGGGCTGGAAGACCAGGACTTTTGGTCTGTCCAAGCGCTACTCCTCATGTCCTATTACATGTTGGCCAAGACCAAGCGAAACACTGCTTTTGCATTGCTTGGCATGGCAGTACGATCTGCGCTTGCGCTCGGTCTACACAGAGAAGAGACTATGGTCATCTTCAGTCCCGAAGAGCAAACTCAGCGGAAAGACCTTTGGCGGTCGATCTTTGTCATGGATCGATTGCTGTCCTGCTCTCTGGGTCGCCCAACCGCTATATCGGAGGATGACTGCTCAGGAGACACCCTGCGGCCGCCAGACTGTGTTCGCGACCAGAACTGGAGCTTCAGTGCAAAGACTGTATACGATTTCAACGAGACTGGTCCTCAAGCTTTAGAGGCCACCGTCCGGAGCTGTAGAGTGATTGGCGTCATCTTACGGAAGGTTTACCAGCAACGCAAGATTAGCACACGCCTTGCACAGGAGATATCAGACATATGCAAGACTTGGCCGCGACTGCTGACACCCATCTTGCAATGGCGACAAGCGGCGACTGCTTCGCCCAGTCAAGGTGTGGCTATCTTGCATACCAACTTGTTTTACTGTCATTCCATCATCCTCCTGACCCGACCCTTCTTACTATATATACTCAACAAGGAGACTCAAAGACACGTCGAACAGTCTAGTTCAAGAGGGCCAAGACCCTTTCATCGTATGGAGAGGTTCAGCGAAGCGTGTGTCATTGCCTCTGTACACACCATTTTGCTAGTACAAAACGCTTACGAAGCTGGTTACCTATCCCGGCGCAACCCAGCTGTCATCTATTTCCTTTTCGCAGCCACACTCGTGATCCTCGCGAGCGATTTTGCCGGTCTTTACCAAATCGAGTTGACGGACAATTGCGTGGTTAATGCTATAAACGTCATGAACTACTGCGCTGAGAGCGATCAACAGGCCAGCCGTCTTGTTTATATCCTCAGTACTTTTCGAGACGTCGTCGCACAGCAGCGACTACGTAGGCGACAGGATCAGACAAGCAATTCGACGTTGCCCAGCATTGCATCACAACTCTACGGGGTGCAGATGCCGCAGCAACAACGGAACGCCGACCCCCAGACGACGGACATGGTGCATACGACGAACCCAGTGGAGGCAACACCACGGCTCCATCAAGTCCCAGTACACATCTACCCTGGGATGCAAACAGCGCCGCTCAACGAGCCGATACTCACGTACCAAGTATCTGAGCAACATCATCATCTTGACCAAGATCAACATCAAACCAACGTCCAGCATACACCCGCTGCCGCAGGAGAAGATTTTAGGGTTCATCTATCACCAATCCAGGAACCACCACCAATGGATATGGCCACACCTCCCTTCACATCTACTTCGAAGCCACCTTCGCTATCAGCAATGCTTGATCTCTCTGCTCTGGAAGCAACACGCGTCCCAAGTTTGAATTCCGAAGAGAGTGGGCAGGATGAGCAGATTGACTTCGATGCGCTGTGGGCTTGGCCTAGTAATACACCTGCAATGGGAAGTCCAAGGGCTATGGAGGCAAGTGGAGTGAGTGAGCGCGTACAGGGTATTAGTGATAGTGCTGTACCCATGTTTGGAGTTAGCAGAGAGGGGACCGATGGCATTTAAAAGGTCAACATGTAGGATGTATATTTGTGCTGATTTAGCGTGTGGCATACACTGGCATATGCGTGTAGCTGCTTTTGTATTCTGCGTATCCTAATCTCGGTTGCCTGGTGTAGAGCAAAATCATAATGACATGATTGTCTGCGTTGGTGAACATTTTCCGCTGAATCCCGAGCCTCTCTTACCATCGCCCAGTCTTTCAGTGTCGTATCCTGATTAGGCTGTTGACGATTACCACGTTTTTTTGCTGCCTCGATGCGCTGGTTCTGCGTTATCCTGAGACAATCTTGTAAGATCGTTCAATGGACGAGTCGCTCGGAAGACTCGTAACACAAATCCTATATATCGTTTCTTACAAAGCCTCCAAAATGCGTACATCGCTCATCGACTCAAAGGGTATCGTTTCTCCTCCCGCGCCATTGTGCAACGCCCACTGCAACGTCTTCTCCATTGCGCGTCTACCTGTATGCTCGAGCGGTAGCCTATAAGGTGTTAGCATGTGTATTCTCATCAACAGACTGATTAGGTTCCGCGTACCAATGACCCGCTTCCTTGATGATTACCACCTGGCTTCCTTTGACCAGATAGTCTCGAGCGTTGTCGAGGGAGAGCCGTTGGTCAAATGCCGGCTCATGAAGTCCCATCATCAACGTCGAAGGGGCCTTCAGCGCACCCTCGGGTGCCATGTTGGAAAGGGTGCCTGACGGGGATAGAGATTGTGAAGAGGTAGCTTCGGATGAGATGTTGTACAAAGCGGCAGTAATCTCGAGCGACTTCTCCCACTTTCCAAAGACAAGGTTTTCCCGATAGATGCGAATCTTCTCGGACATGCCGCGGTCGCCTACTCTCGTCTTGACGGATTCGCCATACCTTTCGTTGTTACTGTTCGTCTTCTCCAACTGAGCGCTTCCAGGGCCAGTCGAAATCGCCATGGCCTCGGCAGCTTCTATAGGATTTAAGACAGCAGGGGTCTTGCTCTTTCCCGGCGTGCCCTTGCCGAAGCTGTGGAGAATGCGCAAGAACCAGTAATTGCCGAAAGTTGCGAAGGTATTGTTTAGAGGCCACGGTAGATGGAATACGAAAATGTAGAAAGAGCGTCGGAATTGCCCAGCCACAGGGCCTAGCGCATGTAGGCCGTTTTTGAACAGACGAAAGTTGAATGGCGAGCGAATCCATGTCCTCAGCATCTGCTTGGCCAACAGTATCCTATTCCTCCCATTTGAACGTTGTAGACCAGGGATAATACCGCCTGTAATGATCCAGTGGTCTGCTAGCACATGTGCCTCGGACGCCAGTCGCGCACCAATGACGGCACCCCAGTCGTGTGTGACTACAACTGTCTTTTTGCCTTGCTGCAGAAATTGTTCTCTGATGCCGACAATGAACTCGCTCAGCGCTTCGAGTACTTCGTTCGGGCCGTATGCGGGCAGACTATCGGAGCCGCCGTAGCCAGGAAGATCGACGGCTATCAGAATGGTGTCCTTCTGTAGAGACGCGGATTGGAGGAGGTGTCGCCAGACGAGGAAGGAGTCTGGGAAGCCTGGCCTTGGTTAGCTGTATTGTTCCTGAAGTTGGGGCCTTTGATGACTCTGCCTAGGAACTACATACCGTGTATGAAGACAGCAACATTCTTTGCCGTTGATGATTCAGCGCCTTGGTTAATGACATAGTGCAGACTCGTGCCGGTGGTGGTCTTGAAGAAAGAAGGCTTGAAGCCTGGCAGAGGCTCTCGATCGAGACTCCAAAACCTCTCTTGCGCAGCAGCCAAATCCCGCTTCTCTTCTTGGGTATCCTTTGCCCAAAGAGCACCGTTCTTGACGACCGCCATTGTCCATGCTCCAGCAAGGCTGACAAGTCCAAATGTGAGCTTGAAGCCGCTCCAAGCCAGATGTCCAAGTTTGTCTGCCATTTTGGCGGGTCGCCAGTGTACCGTACAAAGGTACGCCTACAATGGTGTGTATTCAAGTTATGCACCAGCCGAGATTGTTCGTGCTCATGCGTTGGCCGTAGTGACGCGGTACCGACCCGTTACATGTAGCGCGGAGTAGAGATGACAATTTGCGATCAAAAAATCAAGGTTGTGGTATCCACCCCCACCTGTTGGGTGGAACAAACATGGCGACAAGCTGCAGGGGCAGATCGCGATGGCAAAGCAGATGACCCTCGAATTCACGCCGCAGCGATGATCAAGGGTCCTGCGCGTCCATGGAGGCTGCAGTGATGATCGTTGAGGTATGACGTTATTGGCCAGAGCTTCTCTCTCTGCCGTGGGCTGCAAGTCTGATCGGTCGGGTAGCTTTGTCCCCCGCTTAGGGCATAGGGCACTTTCGTGTCAGGGATGATTCACGTGCTCTATGGGACTATTGATATACTGGTGACTTGCCACTCTACAGAGCTGGGATATCGTGGATGTTGCGGTCGGGCTGCTGGATCGTACGCGCAATGGCAGTGCGTACTCGGTGTGGCCAGTGAGCATTAGAGCCTGTATCTCTGTATAAACGAACATGGTCATACATTTACCTTGTATGAGGATGTCACCATAGATCAGCCAAGGAGTCTATGCTCCTAATGCCCACCAAGAATAAATCGCTGTAGATGAAGCTGATGGCTGCGGCTCCACTAATTTGACATAAGAAATGTCGGGTATCATAACAACTTGGTAGCACATCTCCTGACGGCTCCAATCTATACAAGCACTAGGACACTCTCTGAGCTTCATCTCCTCTTCCCTTTGACTCTCTCCATAACCCTCAGCTCAGCACTCCTCTGTAACCTCAGATCCTCCAACTCCCTCTCAATACCTCTGTTCTTCTCTACAAGCTCCTTCCTCTTCTCCATCCTCTGCTTAGCTTCTTCCAGCTTGTGCCGGACGACATCCTCCACTACCCTCTCCAACTGCCCCGCGTCCTCGATGCCATGCTCTCTGATGAATCTATCTGCGAACTCCTCGATAGTGTGGGGCGATGGACCTGGGCCGCCTGTGTGATATCCATTCTTGTGGGTGACGTACAGGCCCGGTATGGCGGAAGTATGTGTACGGAGGTTGGAGGAGAGTGGTATAGGTAGTTGTGACGCGGGGATTGTAGGGGTATCGTCCGAGGGCTTTCTCGGGGATGGTTGAGACGGAGGGTTGAGTAATATATCCATGAGGCCGTTCTCAAAGGCCTCGTCATATGGGACTGTCGATGGTGAGAAGTCGACCATTGGGGATGTGAGTTCAGGCTCGTCGCGTGGTGTGAGGGGCGCGTTGCCCATGATCGTGTCTTGGTTGCTCATGGTGGCTGTTTCCCGGTTGCAGATGATTATGCGACGCGTAATTCTAGAAGGAAAGTGTTGCGCTCCGAGGCTTGTCGAGTTGATGATATGCGTCCCTCAGGCTGTCGCGATGGTGGAGTTGATGCATCGTCATGACTAAGCCGGAATCCCCCCAGCACCTCCGCGGTCGCGACGTTCCCAACTTTTGCCTGTCAAACCCAAACGACCCGATCCGCGCATCTTAGACGACTACCCGAATTCCGTACATATCGCAGTCATGGCCGACAAACTACGCGCACAGCAACAACTCGAAGCCCTCCAAGCTCGCTACATCGGTATCGGGAGCGCAGACACTACCAAGCACGAATGGACATCGAACATTGCGCGCGACTCGCTTTCGAGCTATGTCGGCCATCCGCCTCTTCTGCAGTACATGAGCATCGGCCTGGGACAGCCGCGCGAAAAGACTAGACTGCAGTTGCTCGAGCGCATGGTCAGGCCAGTTGGGCCGCCGCCTGAGGTGAGTAACAAACATATGGAGTCTCTTAAGCAGCAAGCTGACAGCAAGTAGCAACAAGACTGAAAAGGATACTTCGGATCCAAACAATAGGGTTGATTACAACGACATGCAGAAACGAGAATCCAAAGCAACAGTCGCTCTCCATCCAGATGGCACAGACATGCGCGAGGCCGGCTCGTGGGCAGCGAGGAACAGATGGGTACATGCTGCTTGTCTATGGCTGTCAAAGCCAATACTATGAACTTGTTCAGTAGCGTAGCGCACGCTGAGTGCCGGTGGTGAGGTGTAGACACACCTCTGCCTCTATGAAGATAGCCCAGTCACCACCGCAACCGGCGTCCAAAAGTCTTTTCCAACTCATGCTCTGCCTTTTGTGACACCTCAATCGCTATCACTAGCACTTCCTGTTGGGCCATCATCGTCGTCTTCTACCACGTCGCCGCTCATTAGCATCGAAACTTCTCCCTTCTGTAGCATGCTCCTCAGCTCTGTGTTCCTTGGATCCGCCAGCTCAATGGGCTTGAGCTTCGCCTTGTTCCTTATTCTTGGATCGCATCCCGCATCTAGCAGCATCGCGACGATGGAGTGGCCATGGGGCCAGACTGACTTTTCGAGCGAGTTGACGTAGCGTACGGCTTTGTGAAGGGGGGTGTCTTGCTCCATGCGGTCGATTTCGTCAATCTCGAGACCCTCTTGGTCGAGGAGCATGTCGATAACCTCGACTAGGATAGAGTCAGTTGATTCATGTCCTGACATGTACCATGCGACGTACAGCTTCCGTATGTTGCAGCAACGTGAAGACAGCCGTTGCCCACGCCGTCGCGTGTGTTGTTCAGTATGTCGGCCACATGGTCCTCGGGCTTCTTTCCTGACTTTGAGGCAGCAGCAGCAAGGTCTTTTAGTGTTTCCTCGAGTAGCTCGGTGTTGTTGCGTCGGCACGCTTCGAGCACAAGTTCGCGGGGAGAGGCACCCTAAATGTCCATTAGCACTGCGAGGCGCATGGTATGCAGGTGCATGTACCTCTTCGTCCGCCATGGTGTGTGGTGTTGAGGATATGGAGAGTGACTGAACAGGAAGAACGGCCCAGTCAGGTACGCGTGAATGTTTCGAGATGTTGTTTGGCGGGGTACTCGGAAGTGCTAACGGAAAGCGAACAACTCAAGGCGGTGTGAACAGGTGAAGTATCCCTCTCATACGGCGATAAGAAAGCAGGCGATGTCTCCCAGGCCAGCGTGCATAAGCCCCCAATCTGAGACAGTCCGTTCCCAAGTGCGCGTCCCCAGTGGCTTTTCGCTGGGCCATAATCGCCCCGCACTTTGCCTATCCCGGCCCTAGCGGTTCAGGGTCCGCTGTAACTTTTGAACTTCTTCGCCATCATCTCTGACGCGTCCAGCACTGCGCTCCCTCTGTCGTCGCCAACCATGTTACTCTGTAAGTTGTGCGCCGCCAAGCTCTCCTCGCTCGCTAGCAATTGCCATGCCCTCGTCTGCCGCATCTGCAAATCAATCGCACCCAATACTAACAGCCATAGTCTGCCCAACATGCAGCAACATGCTTCGCGTGTCCAAAGTACCCCCCGGTGACCCTACAACCGAAGACTCTGTCGGCCAAAACCGTTTCGAATGCCTTACTTGTCCCTACCACTTTGTAATCAACAAACGTTACTACGAGCGCAAGTATCTGAAGAAGAAGGAAGTCGAAGACATCTTGGGTGGAAAGGGTGCCTGGGATAACGTAGACAAGACAGAAGGTACGTCCCACGATATCCGGGCTTTTCAGAGTCACATGACGCCCAGTCCAGCTGTGCACGATCACGCTCGATGCATATGACTGACAATCGAACAGTCCAATGTCCCAACGAGAAGTGCCGGAACCACGAGGCGTACTGGTACCAGCTACAGATTCGTAGCGCTGACGAGCCAATGACCGCCTTCTACAAGGTACTCTAAACATCCGACATCTCGGAAAGCTTTGCTAACGTCTACCAGTGCACCCAATGCGCGAAAGAGTGGCGAGAATGATTTACGAATCGCGTCAGATGTCAGGAGTTTGGAAGCGGAGTTCTTGCTTTAATATACCCCGGTTGCATTTGGTGAATAGATAAAAATCTCAATCTAACTCGCAGGCGCCACTCGCGCTTTGAGGAATCTGGGAAGAGTGATTGATTTCCTACATATTGGCTTTTGCTCATACTCACCGTTATGAAATATATGCTTCTTAGTTGGGCTAGCACTTCTCAGCTCTCCTCTTGTCTGACAGCTACTCAGTTTCCTTACTCAGAATACCCAATACCTCTGCCACAAGTGGCCACAACGCAGCATGCCAGGTCCGATAGCCTTCCTCGTTTAGATGCACATGATCCACAAGCATGTCTTTGCTGATCACATGTCTCGAATCAATCCACTTCACTCTATCTCCTTGACACTTGCCACCCTGTGAGTCGTCTTCCTTTTCCATATCTTTTTGCAAAATTTCGTTCATCTCTTCCACGACTTCCTCGAGCATCCTATTACTCTCATCGACGAAAACATCAGCTATATCCTTCCTATACGTCATATCGCAAGCCAGTACCATACTCTCCGGAGCAATCCTTAAGCAGGTCTCTACCAACACCCTCCAACTCTCCACGTCCTGTTTGCGAAAAGGGCGCTTTGCGTGTAGATTGTTCGTTCCAAAAGTAAGGATCCAGACTCTGATGTTGCATCTCTCTTTTTTCGCGTTCCGGAGCATATCGTAAAGACCCTCGTTGAGTCGGTATGCGACGCTTTCGTTCTTGTCGCCGCCAACACCGGCGTTCCATGCGACTCCCATGTTCCCTAGTCTGCCGATGTTTGTATTGGCACCAGTGGTTTTGATAGCGAGCGCGAGGCTCAACAAAAGAAGTTCGTAGATGGAGTCATAGTTGGACTTGACGATTTCCTCAGGACAACAGACAGAAGGTCTTGAGTTCGAGCCTCCACAGAGAATCATTGAAGCAAAGTAACATGACGTCTGTGTCTTTGTGGTTTCGGTGGGAAGGAGACCTCGGAAGGTTACGCCGCTGGTGGCCCCGGAACCCGACGAAGACGCTCAGTCTGAGTCTCCTTCACTATCGATGGTGAGCTCTATCAGACCATCAAGCGCATGTGTCTTAGGTTGAATGAACCAACGGGTAGCAGCCATACTGAGTGTGCCCGCGGTCATGATTAGTGTGGCAACATGCGGTTTCGATAGCTCTTCCAAAACAGCATGATCATCTTTCGGAAAATCCGTTGGCTTTGCAGATCGGGAAAAGAACACGCGAGATGAACGGAAGGGCACGTATGTACTGAGTCGGAAAAATCGTGGGTGATGAGTCTCGGCCTTCGAGACCGTGGTATCCGACCGTGGCCTTTGTGCCTTTTTCGTATCCGCGTCGTAAGTCTGAACAACATCGCGGGTTTTCTTCGGCATCGCTAGCGCTTTGCGTGCTTGAGCTTGGTTCTTTCTCTGCCCGACAGGCAAAGTTGGGGCAGCGTTGTCGGCAATAAACGGACTAACAGACGCTACATCAAGATCCATGACGCAAGGTTGCCAGCTCTCATTGAACTCCACGGGCTCGAATGATGCGCCTTTGTTACGCATGAAACTCTGCTCAATGACGCTACTATCTCGCAGTAGCGCAGGTTGTGAAGCGCCGTGAAAGTTGTGTAAATGCTGGAGGAAGGCCTCTTCCGACGTATAGAATTCTTGATTGCATGAACGATAGCGATGGTAGTTCTGTGCATGCTCGACATGAAACGTGCGATAGTCGGAACCGCAAAGATAGCAATGGTGAGCCTTCGCCGAAGGGAAGTCCGGGCAAAGCGGTGGTCCTGCATTGTCAGCAGCAACGTCGTCAAAGCTTCGCAGGAAACGGCAGCTCCACACACGGCAATGGGAATGCTCGTTCATCTCCTTGACATCCGTAAACACTTTCTGGCAGTATCGGCAACGGAACGACTCGTAGGGTGTCGTCGAGTATAGATTCTCCAGATGGTTCTCCTTGCGCTCCCCCCACCACACAGCACGGTCAAGCTCACGCGTGATGAGGTGCTCAGCGATATGCTCACACCTCTCAGACCAGTCTCTGGATATTTTCCCACAAAAGCCACAATGAAGCATCGGGTCGTCCTTCTTCATTGGAGCACCGAAGCGACGCCACTTCATGGCGAGATCTTTGCAGCCGAAGTAATGGCCCTGAGCGGCTAACAATCGGGCCTGGCATCCGACACGTACCGATGGGTGTTTGGTGTTAGCGAAGTGAACATGATGCATGTGTTGGATGAAGTGGTCGCGGCGATAGAAAGTCCGTTGAGATTCGGGCTTGCTCCTGCATTGCTGGTATTTGTGGCCAGCCATGTGAGTGTCATCAGGATGGGTCTGACCGCAGAATGGACAGGCTTCGAGTATCTCAGATGACTTCGTGTCACAACAGATCCAGGTAGTTCGAAGCGCATGAACAGAGTCTTCGTGCCGAATCCATTCATACTTCGTCTTGAACGCTCGCGGGCAGAAGGTGCAGAAGAAAGAAAGATCCTTTTGGGGTTCACCCGCACTGCTACAGAGGTGAAGATATGAAGTCAGTGCATGTCTCATATGCGTCTTTTGCAATCACAACTTACTTGACACCATTAATAGCTTGGCGAGGTGACTCTTTCCAAGCCATCCGACGTCTACCCCGCCTTCGATCACGACCAAAAGACGAAGTTTTGCCGCGACTGCCGTTAGACGAAACCGTATAAGTCGTCAGGGCAGTGCCTTCGGAAGACGCAACAGATGTGATGACAGAGCCTCTACGGCCTTGCCTCGAGTCAGACCACCCGTCGTTTGGGTTACTCTCGCTAAGAGAATTATCATCGATGGCGGCCTGTACTAGAGACAACTCTACTGCTTCTTCTTGATACGACTGTGCAAGATATACTGCCAGAGGCGGTTGCGGCAGCTGATTAGCGCCATTCGCCTGCTTTTCGAGACTCTCTAGGCTATCTCTTGAGAGTTTTGTTTTCAGTACGCGACAGTTGCGATCTGACAACTCTAGTGTGGAGACTTGAGAGTCTTAGGTATGTAAGCCAAAGGATAGCCAATCGGGTTTGAAGCTACTTACCTCCACATTTCTTTCGAGCTCGGGTGTTATTGAACCAGTTGCGAACCTTCTTCACGTCGAGATTGGCTTGATGTGCAATGATATCTAATTCCCAGGTACCTAAGACATACGTGTACGAAGTCAGTGTATATACCACAAGCAATTCGTTCGCAGGCATCTCTTACATGGGTATGGATTCACCGCAAATTCATCTTCCAGAATTTGCCTCGCTTCGAGCGGAATGCGACTTTGGGGTCCTTTACGTTTGGCTGATGCAGGTTTCCAAGTGCCGCTGAAGGCTTCCTGCTGGGCTGCGACCGAGCTGATTGGTACCTGGCTCAGAAGGAAGGAAGTGTTGGCCGGTATCGTTGACCGATCGATCTGTGATGCAGATTGCTCAAGCCGATAGTCCAGGGTGTCAGCTGGGCTCCCTCCATTGTTGCCATGAACGTTGTTGCATTGCGTCAACCCGAGAGATGGTGAATATGATGATGGAATATTGAGATTTGCCTCATCATATGTCATGGAACCCGCCATATGCTGAGGTTTATCTGTTTGCCAACTTTGGTCCGTTGTCTGAGCTAAACCTCTCTCAACCATGCGTGACACCAAACTGTCTGTTCCGTGAGATGATGGCCATTGCTGGCTCACACCACCAGTGGAGAAACATTGACTAACATCGTACATGGGCATGTCGTTCAATTGAAAATCGTCCGTGGGACTATGGTGGGCTGCTGGCTCGACAGCCCAGTCGATATTTGTGACATCATCTGGTTGAATCAACGGCACGCTTTCCTGCTTTGGAACATGGTTGCTTCCAGAATCTGCGTTCTGATCAAGGGCTGCGAAGTCGAAGAATTCGTCCATGTTGTCAAGGGCGTCGGCGTCCATGGTGACGCGCCTAGCGCGACCTAAATGGGCTCTAGGATCGGCTTATCCTGGGGAAAGGCAACCAAACATCAACGTTTTGATAGGTCCGAGGCTGAGAGATGGATGTTTGGTGATTGAGTGTGGCATGACAGAACGTGGGTGTCGGCTTGACGCTGATGAGGTAAAAGGTGATGCGGCGTCGTCTATTGATGAACTGGGTGCACGGCGATCTTCCAGGCAACCAGCACTAGTGGTAGCAAGTATTCCTGCGCAACGATGGGGACAGACATTCCACAGAGCTATACAGAACAGGATGTAATGGTGCGTGTCGACCAACATTCAGGAAGAGGTTATGAAAGCATGACCCAGAGTGGTCCTGATGTTGACGTCCACCACAGTCGGCGTCTGCGCGCGTTCAAGCCGGCAGACGCCACCCAATATCGTTAGCGCGAGTTGTTGACCCACCGAAAAGTTCCTCCACTCGAAAAGCTCACGACACTTGTAACGACACGCGCATTGATCGCCTCCAACATTCACAATGGCCGCTGAAGTACAACTCCTGCAGCCTTTGAAGCTGCCAAAGGGCCCTTCGACTCTCACGTCGGAGCAAAAGTACTGGAACTCGTTCGCCTCAGAGCTGCGCCTCGACCCGTCGCAGCATTCGTCGCCCGTAACCCATATCTCGATACCGCCTCCTCAGCCCGCAAATGCGCTGTCTGCCGCCCAGGATCTTTTCGCCGTGACAACAGGATCCCGTGTTCAGATCTTCTCCTCTAAGAGCCGAAAGGTCGTCAAGACGATATCGCGCTTCGGCGTCGACGACATTGCGCATTCGGGAAACATACGGCGCGATGGCAGGATCTTGGTCGCAGGAGGCGACACTGGTGTTATACAGGCCTTTGATGTGAAGAGCAGGGCGATTTTGAAGACATGGAAGGAACACAAGCAGCCTGTCTGGGTGACACAGTGGAATCCAACCGACCTCACGGGTCTGATGAGTTGTTCCGACGATAGGACTGTGCGACTATGGGACCTGCCGAGTGAGAAGAGTGTGATGAAGTTTGATGGGCATCAGGATTACGTGCGCAGCGGTACATTCATGCCTGCGCAGAGTGGGCTACTTGTCTCCGGAAGTTACGATCAAACAGTACGACTCTGGGATTCGCGAGTGGGCGGAAAGGCGGTCATGGTATTCAAGCATGCCGCGCCCGTAGAGACCGTTCTACCCATGCCCTCTGGTACTGCTGTCCTCGCAGCAGCCGACAACGTGATCAGCGTGCTCGACATTGTAGCTGCGAAGCCGATTCATATGTTGCGCAACCACCAGAAGACGGTTACCGCGCTCTCGTTGGCGAACAATGGCGAGCGCCTTCTCTCTGGTGCCCTTGATGGCCATGTCAAAGTTTTCGAAACAACTGGCTGGAATGTAGTGGGAGGAATGAAGTACCCCTCTCCCATCCTGTCGCTCAGCGTTATTCCGAACCAGAAGGAGGATCGGCACATCGCCGTGGGCATGCAGTCTGGTCTGCTCTCGATCAAGACCCATCTCTCAGGCGAGCAGAAGGTACAGGCTCGTGAAAGGGAGAAGGAAATGAAAGCTCTCATGGAGGGCAAGATTGAGGAGTACGACAGGAGCAAGAAGCGGAAGCGCGGGAAGGGCTGGGAGAAGCGCATACGAGGCAAAGACTTCACAGGCGAAAGCGCAGATATAGTCATTGAAGGCAATGCGCGGGGAAAGATTACTGCCGGACAGCCTTGGGCGCATGCATTGCGAAAGGGCATGTATTCGCAGGCGTTGGACATGGTACTTGAATCAAAGGTAAGCTCATGTTTCTCATCGGCGTTCTGGCACACTGCTCACAGTTCGTAGGATGCGAACGCGCGCAGTCAGTCTCTCACGCTCCTGACCGCTCTACGTCACCGCTCTACTCTTCGCACCGCCCTTAGCAATCGTGACTCGGTAACACTCCAGCCCATTCTCCGCTGGTGCATAAAGAACATATCCGACTATCGTATCACACGTCTGACGACAGACGTTGCGCTCGTAGTACTGGATCTTTATGCCGACCAACTAGGCAGAAGCGAAGAGGTCGACGATCTGATCATGGCGCTTATGCAACGTGTCAAGGTGACGGTTGAAGCAAGTCAAGATGCTTGGAAAGTGAGGGGTATGTTGGATATGCTCGTCAGCAGTGTGGGCGCAACAGAGGGCGTGGAAGCATGAGAATGACCAAAAGGTCTTTTGTTTGCATAGCGAAGGCGTTCAGGATCTCGTCACATGTTTCAAAAAGTTGAGAAGGCGAACCATGTATGTTATGTACCTTGGATGGATGGAGGGATGGATACCCGGATGAAGCGATTGGTATTGCTTTGGATGATGGGAACGGTATAATCTTGAATGGTATATTGTACAAGCCAGCTCTCTTACACGGGCCATATGCTATACACAGAATTCGTACATGCGTCTACCACAGACAGTATTGCCGCTGTGATGTCACGGGTCGGTCGGGTAGTGCAGTCCATAGCTTGCGGTTGTCGCGCTTCTTCTTGAGTTCATCCGAGATGCGCATCCGCGTCTTCTCTTCCTTGAGAAGTACGGAAAAGCCTATCAGATGGTGTCAGCGTGTGATTCGGCAAAGTAAGCTTGTAGCCAACTCACTGGTCGTCCGGTGCTTCAGCATGTTGATGGCACCCCGCGCCCTGAACTCAGGAGTCTTCCAGCTCTCTCCGGGCCCCACCCATGCCTGATCAATGTAGATCTCACTGGGGTCGCGCACCACCTTCTTACTGCCATCCTTCAATTGAATCGTCGTGTCTTTGAAGAAGGGCACTTTGACCTTGTTCGCTTCTACACTACCATCCTCTTGGGAGGTCTTGTAGTCCCAAGTATCTTTCGGCCTCCCCGCATCCGTAGCTTCTCTTTGCTTATTCCAACGAGACACAGCAGCCTCCTCGCCAGCTAGGCCCATGCCCCGGCCCGCAATGGCTTCGTTTTGCGCGATCTCGAGGCCCTTGATGACGTCGCGAGCGATCTTTTTCTTGGAGAAGCGGAGTTGGACAAGGGCCTCTGATATGGTCTTTCCGGCGATCTGATTGACGACCTTCTGCAGCTTCTTGGTAGACGTAGGGAGGACTTGTGACTTGTACAGCGATTGGCGCTCGGTGCGGAGTAGCTTTGCAGCCTTTGTCATGCGGCCGTGGCGCTTGACACCGGAGATGATGAGTTTGCGTTCGAGGCGCTTGCGGGCTTTTTCGTCAGGGTCGAGGGTCATGCTCATGAGCTTTCTGTCTTCCTGTGCCTTTGCTCGTTGCTCCCTCTGTCTGTATTTTGCCTTGAGGTCGAGTTTCTCCTGCGGACTCAGGTCTTGCCGCCATCCGGGCATGTCGTTCTCGGGTGCGAAGAGCGATGTCGGGGTAACGGCGAAGTCTCCTGTGCGCTGTGCGGGGCGTGTCGGGCGTGCTGGCTCGCCCTTGTCGTTTGCGTCTGCCTCGTGCTCCTTCTCCTTCTTGTTCAGATAGTCTTCGAGGATGGGGTTGGTGAGGTCATCGTCTTGGTTCTTGCGCCCGAAAGAGACATTGCGCTGGGCGAGTGAAGGAAGCGATGTCGACGGCACCCAGCGAGTGTGCGGGCGGAAGACGGCGAGGGCTACTCGGTGTTAGTCGTAGAGTTTGTGGGGGAACAGGACAGGCGTACCGGACTGCCCCAGGCGCCGTGAGGGAATTCGAGCACTCATGCCGATGCTCAGCACGACGAAGCTGCGGCGTTGGTGATGCCAATGCGGTGGAGTTGACGGGAAATTCTGTGGTTGCGGCGAAAGGCTCCGCGCTTGCAGGGGTGGGGAGTCTCGGCAGATCTTCATGAACCAGATGCAGCGATCAGCTCGCAGAAGAAATGTGCAGGAGTCGTGTCGTCCCGCTCCTGTCCAGACCATCGTCGACGCTGTCCAGTTGGCCCTTCTTGACGCGCATCTGGTGACGCGCCCTACACCCTGCAGTGCCCTCTTTACCTGCTCTCCCGGGAGTCCGCATTCAGGTGCTCCGAGTCGCGAAGTGCTCGCTCCATCATTACTTGATTAGTCGCAGGCCCAAGCTCGTCTGGTGCACCTAACCACCTTTTCTTCTAGGCCCAGTGTAGGCATTCTCATCCACGACGCCGACGAGGTCATCTCCCATCACATTCGCTCGCCCCATCGCCGCGCGCTGCCAACCGTCCTTTTCGCGCCCAACGCCCGCCCTCGTCCCATGCCGCTCGCTACGAGGGATTCGATGCCGTGTAGTTCCCGCAGCTCGCGATTATAGAAGAGAACATAGCAAGACGTCGAGTGCGCCTGTGGCGTCTGAAACGGCCGTCTAGTCTGAGCGCATACCAAACAACTGCACCAAACTGTACACGACACCCACCATGGATATCAACTCATTGCTGTCGCCGTCGGACTCGCCTGCGGGCACCCCAACGCCCCAGCCCGCCCCTACTATCCCGTCGCCGTCGCTACTCCGATCCCCAGGCAAACGTACACGGCGCCAGATGCCCTCGCGAACACCCTCGGGTCTGAGTCAGCAGATCAGATCCTCTCCACAGCCGCCCCAGACGCTTCAGCAGCGTGTGCCATCTCCAGGCTACGCCCACATCGCGAATGGCGCAAGAGCAGTACACAGTTCAATCGGCACGCCGCAACAGATAGCATCCCCTCGCGACGCGCGCATGACTCCGCCGAATCCCATGTACCGGCAAACTTCGACACCGGGTATGGATACACTGGCAGGTAGGTGCCCGCTTTCTTTGCTCTGGCGGCACAGCGCTGCAGTCAGCCCCAGTACGATGGAATTGCAGCGTCAGAGATGCAGGGAGAAAAAGGACGTGGCGAGCGGCTGCGAGATGCCACTTCACAGGGCCTCTACTAACATCTTCCCAGACCTTGCCAGCATGCAACAACAACAACAAGCCGCGCGCCAGAACTCTGTAGTTCACCAACGGCCTGTCACGTAAGTTCATCATTCCTACCGAGTTAGTTTTTATCTTGGCCCGCCCACGTCGTGAGACCGTGTCTGCACCTGCATATTTACAGGTAGCGCGCATTGTATTTTGTGGGGCGAGCAGTGACGTCCGGGTGTCGCGCTTGCCCGTGGTCACGGGTTTTGCCCGCTGCGCCAGCCTAGTTTTGTTACACAAACTCCACTACTAAACACTGACCATGTCCCAGCCTTCAACATCTTGGACAGAATCTTTCCGGTGAGTCTGTAGCCAGCATCATGTCCGAGGCTTCGCCGCGACCGCGCAACTTCATCACTCGCTCTTTGGACCAACAGCACATCGACTGGCTCAACCAACTGGACAAGACACTGTTAGAAAATCCCTTCGATTATTACAGCCATGTCTCGCTTGTCACTACGCTGCACCAGGGCCTCCAAAATCACCTTGCGTCGTTCGACGCGGACCCAAACGCATACGAGCTGGTGCAAACTCTGCGCGATGCCTACAAAACCATGTCTGACAAGTATCCGCTCGGTGAGCTGTTGTGGCACTACCGATTGAACGACGAGAAAACTCTGGCCAAGGACGTGGAGCAGCGTATGGGCGTGCTAGAATTGCACAAGCAAGCCACACAAGAGGAACCTTACAGTGCAAAGCTTTGGGCAGCATACGGCGAGTATGTGAGCTACCTAGTCGCTTGCTCTTGGGATCAAATACCGCCAGAGGAGTGGCCTGAAGAGGAAAGGCTGATTGGCCGCGAGCTCTTCAAGCCTCAGTTACTATTGCACGCGCTACAAGAAGGTGCAGAGAGAGTCAAGTATAACCTTCAGGAAAGTAATCTTGTGTGGGACCGCTACCTACAAGTCCTGGAAGAGGATCTTGAGCGCGAAGGCTTCAGCCAAGAGAAGGCGAAACGAGTAGCCGCCATTTATAACGATCGCCTAGGTCAACCACACGCAACATGGGCCAACACGCTCAGTAGATACTCGTCGTTCAACTCTCGCTACAACACGAGTCACTACGAGCAGGTGATGGATGAAGTGGTGAAAAACAACACACACATCAAACAGCAATATGCCAACCGCGAAGAATACGAGTTTAAACTTCTACAGGCCATCCAAGCGGGCGATCAAGCCGCCGAATACACCGCCATGACACGCTATCTCAAATGGGAGAAGAGAACCATGGGCGTCTACAGCTTCCATCTTGTCAATGCACTCTATGAGCGAGCCACGCTTCGCTTCCCAGTCGATCCTTCAATATGGGAAGATCACGTCGAGTTTCTTATCTGGCAAGACAACCGATCGGTAGATCTGCTCAACGTCCTGGAGCGTGCGACCCGCCATTGTCCCTGGTCTGGATCACTCTGGTCCCACCGATTGCTAACGCTCGAATCGGAAAACAAACCATTCGAGGATCTTGAGCTTGTTAAACATACAGCTACTGGCTCTGGCCTCTTGGAACACACCGACTTGGATGAACTCATCAAGGTACAACTCGCTTGGTGTGGTTACTTACGGCGAAGAGCTTTTGACGACCCCAGAGCAACAGAAGACGATGTTGATGTAGCCGAGGTCGGAATCCGGTCTGCCCTAGAGTTTGTCCGAGAGGTTGGCATGAAGAAACATGGCAGGGAGTGGACGGACCCAAAGTACCGTCTTGAACGTGCTCACATGAAGTTTTGGCTCCAACGCGGTGAAATAGATAAAGCCCGTCAGATTCAGGAGTCCATCACACAGTACCAGGAAGACTCATACGACTTTTGGTATCGCTGCTACATCTTTGAGATGCTTCTGTGGGCGCCACATGCAACAAGGAACAAGCAGAACGCAGGCCAGCCACTATTGCCACCGACTCAGGCTACCTCAATCTTGGAACGTGGCATGAAGCGCTTGCAAACGATCGATCACCCAGAGCTGCTTATTGACATGTACATCAGTCATTGCGAACAGCATGAGTCAGCGTTAAAAGTACGTAGCGCGACAATCGAGCGTCGACGAGCTGAGCGCATCGTATCTGTTCGGAGAGAGAAGGAGCGAGCACTCGCGGCTGCTGCAGCTCCACCACAAGATACACCAGACAGCCAAGTCATGGAAAGCTCAGCAAAACGGAAACGGGAGGACGGCGATGAAGATGCGATATTGAAGAAGAGCAAGACTGCGGAAATTGAAGAAGCTTCCCATCCCGTCAACGGCCAGGCAAGAGGCGCGAGCGAAGCACCCTCGGAAGCTCGTTCTACTGGCCCGAAACGGGACCGCGAACACACATCGGTCATTGTTAAGAAGTTACCACTCGATACCACACAAACTCGGATACGCCAATTCTTTACTGATGCGGGCACGGTCCGCAATTTAGTTATGAAAGAGGAGAAGGACAGTCTCACGGCTATCGTGGAATTTGAATCTCCAGAAGAAGCTGACTACGCTCTGAGTAAGGAGGCGAAAGGATTCGAAGGCCACAACATATCGATCGAGCGAGGCCAGAGCACGACGCTGTACGTTACGAACTACCCGGCGCATGCCGACGAAGCCTGGCTACGAAAGCTCTACAGCCCATTTGGAGAGATCATTGGCATTCGCTTCCCATCGCTCAAGTTTGACGCCCACCGCAGGTTTTGCTACGTACAGTTCGCTTCAGCTGAACAGGCAGTTGCCGCAACACAACTGGATGGTACTGATGTCGAGGGCTTGAAGCTGATCTCGAAAATATCTGACCCCAACGCTAAGAAGAAACGTGATGGCGCTACTGCCGAGGGTCGTGAGGTCTATATATGGCATCTCAACTTTAAGGTCAAAGAGAGGGAAATCAAGGATGTTTTTTCCAAATTTGGCAAGATCGAGAGGACAAAGTGCCCAACCATCAGGTCTACCGGCAACAATCGTGGTTTCTGTTACGTCGTTTACGAGACTAAGGATAGCGCTGATGCTGCAGTGGCGGAGATGCATGAGAAGGAGTTCTGGGGCCTCAAGATCATGGTTGAGATCGCAAGTGATCGGCCTGCTACGAAGCCAAAGGTGCAGTCGACTTTAGAGAATCCGGAAAACTCAGCCGCTCGTGAAGTGACTCCTGGACAGAGCAACGCTGCTGCTGAAGCTACTGTCAAGCCTGCTTCTTTCATGGACCGGTCTATCGCGATCCTCAACTTACCCGATACCGTCCCCGACGTACGCATCAAGCCGCTTGTCGAGCAGTACGGCTTCAAGAAGATCAAGCTCGAACCTCACCATGGCGGTGCGATCATCGAATTCACGACTGTGGAGGGCGCCGGTAAGGCTCAATTCGCACTTGAGGGTAGGGACTTTGAGGGAAGGAAGCTTCGTATCGGAACAATTCAAGACCTCAACAAGCAGAAGGGCGAGTGGAAGGCGAGCAACAGCTTTGTACAGCCGAACCGTGTCAATCGACCTACAGCTGCTCGTGGTGGACGAGGGCGTGGAAAACCTGGTCTTGGTCGGCCAACCGTTCCCAAGGGTGCCACAACGACTAATGGCGAGCCGAAGAGTAACGCGGACTTTCGCGCGCAATTCTTGAAGGAGCCTACGAAGGAAGCAAACAAAGACAATGACAAAATGGAAGAGTAATGGCAGGGGTTGGGAGTACGGTTGCATATCAAGATCCAAACAGGACTTGATCGGTGTTTATCATGGAGCGGGTTTCAACTGCCTCTAGGGTTCTCTGCATACTTTGGCGCTGAGGAATGCTTTCTTACGGATCAAAGCCGATATGGTTGGCTTTTGATGTCCTCTTTCCTCTTAGTTTGGTGCTGCGCACCGTGTGTATGCAATATAATATAATGAGTGTCACAATACTCGCGAGAACAGCCTAGGTGCAGGTACAATTTGAGCGTGGATGTGAGTGAGGTAGAATACGTGGATATCATGCGCGGAGCTGAAATATCATCACCGTACACTGACGGATACCATCTAGACTATGGACAAGAGTGTAATGAACAGCAAGCTTGAGCGAGTGACGGTTTGATTCAATCATGTATGTCAACGTGTCGCTATCATCCATTCAGGTCGAAGGCTTTCCGATAGACTAGTTGGAGAAAATGAGTGCATCTCCACCTTCACCTATCAAATCAAGCCATAGCAGAGGCAGCAGCGCCAATGACAGTCTTACCAGACATGGTCTCGAGACGCTTGAACCCACCATGCTGTTTAACACCCTCCTGCAGCTCCACCATCCTCTTCTGATCGCCAGTAGGGTCATCAGTTTCATCCTCAAGACCCCAAGCCAAGTACTCGTTCGTGTAGTTGGGCTTGAAGGTGTTGTCCAACACACGAAGTCTCTTGCCGTAGCGGGTGACCTTGTCCCAGTCACGCTGGACATTCTGAAGATCGGGGCTAAAGTAGGCGAAGCTACGTTCAAAGATCTTACGGTTGGTCGGCGTGTTCATAGCGGACTTGAAGCTGCAGAATTCCTCCCAGGCTTGGTCGGGAGACGCAAGAACGAAGTCAGTTGCGCGCTTGCACGCACGCAGGAAAGCACGTACTTTCTCTGGGTTCTGTTTGATAAAGTCGTTGTTTCCGATATAGAGGATGCTGCAGAAGCAGCAGCAGCCGAGTTGTGCAAGCTCATCGATGCGGAGCATCTTCACTTCGTCGCGCGAGCGGTTCTGGCTAGCAAGCCACTCCTCAAGCTCAACCATCTGGACATTCTCGAGGCCTATGCCAGCATCGATTTCGCCAGTGATGATAGACCGTGTGACGTTCATGCCCACACGAATGGCTTGGTAGTCATCAGGTGACATACCGTAGTGCGCGGTGAGTTCATCGAGTTGGATTTTGCCAAATTCTCCAACGTAGCCTATCTTCTTACCCTTGAGGGTTGTGAAGTCGGGGGTTATACCAGAAGAGGTCAAGTACACAACACCGGTGAAGGGTTCGTTGAGCAGGGAACCGATTGACTGAACGGGGAAGCCACGAGCTGCGGCAGCGAGAGTATGGATCATGGCCTTGAAGCCAAGGTCGACCTTTCCAGATCCGATGATTTCCGTGACATCCTAATATGGTAAGTTCATGTTTTGGAAACGAGCAACATTGGCCGTACGCTTGGGTCGTTGGGCTCAAGTAGAGCGACCTTGACGCCTTCATCTTTGAAATATCCCTTGCTCTGGGCAAGATAGAGAGGAGCGTGGTATGGCGTAGCGTGCCTAATAACTGTCAGCATGCACCTCACTTGACTCAGATGCAAAGCACACCAGTTGGTCAAGAAGGTAATCTTATCAGTCGACATCTTGACTTTGGTACAAATGCTGAGCTAGTCAGTACGCCAACATAGAGGGGAAAGGGTCATCAGGAAGCAGCAGTAGTCCTTCGCGCTGGAATTATCCAGATCAAGTTTAAACGGTATGATCTCAGAACAAGCAATCGATAACCAAGTCTCCTTGTGAGGAGTCTGGATCACCGAAGGCTTGAACACCCGCCATGCTTTGCTTCTGATGGTTGAGATGGGTACCTGATGATGCCATGTCGGGCACCTTTTACTTGATCGAGATGAAATTCTGATTTGCGAAGAGCAAGACCAGCGTGGCCTTGCTGTGCTGGTTCGATGATAGCATCGTACCAAGTTGGTTTCGTGTCAGGGAGAGTTGTTGTAGTTCGGTTTTGGAGACAAAAGAGCAACAGAGGTGGCGACTGAAATCCACCATTTCTACCGGATACTTATAGTTCTGCTCCTCTCCCATCTGTTGAGAAGCAAGGTGGGTAAACTGCTCACTGCAGATGCATGGTGACGGGAGATAGCGGGGCAATGAGGGGTACACTTCCCGACCACGTCAACACACATCACAGAACCAAAACACACGCCTCCCCCATGCAAGACCAAACATCTTTATACCTGTTTCTATTCACTCAAGTCTATCCCTAAGTTGTTCGAAAGTCGCAGTGCTAACGCAGGCAGTCGATTTGGTCATGTTAGACCATTTCCTTGAGGACCATCTAATAGAACTAACTTTCTTAAGCGAACGGCATGCTTTATCGAGACACCCGGATGTCGTGGAATTGAATGCATACGAAGAGTTTTGCGTCTAGTGGCACGCTATACATGTCTTGTTAAAGGATAATCAAGGATACAGACGGTGTACAAGACCTTGGTCATGACGATCGTCAGTATTGAAACATGCAACCAATGTCTCGTACAGTTGAGAGTGTGGGACGTGAAATGCAAAGAAGCGCGTTTGCGGGATAGCGGGGAGTTTATCCACGATTCGAGGCTTTCGACTATACTCTAAAACAGTTTGCGGCAATTTGGACTTGTCAGAGATCACAACACCTTTAACCTCTCTTCCAACCAAGCATCTAAACCTCGCCACATTGCACTTTCTCGCCCTCTGTGCTCCAAGTCTTTGCAAAATCGGCCCAATGTCTGGCACCTCTGCTTGACCCAAATTCTTTTCTCCTCTTCATGGCCACCACTCAGCTCCCCGATGATAGCATGCGCAATCTTCGCCTCACAGACAGGACACAGGAACGGGGGCTGTCTTACGTCTTCCCTCATACTACCCGTCCCCTGCATATTACACGCATAATACACACAATGCGCGATGCCGAAACAATGACCTAATTCATGCGACACCGTTCGCGCAAGCCGTGAGAACCATAGCGCCTGGACTTCTTGCACCGGAGAGACAGGCTTGTATGCTGAGGCTGAGGCGACCGCAGCTGCCATTGCACTGTTCTTACTTAGGTCTTTTTGTTTCTTTGTTGCTGGCTTTGCTTCTACGTCTTCCGTTGCACACAAGTCATCTACAAATGTTTTGCAATGACTCCACGGCCACATATGACTTCTGTCAATCTGCTCCCCTTGCCGTTTGTCCAGCACCGGGCTATACCGTGCAGTCTGAACAACAGCCACTCTACTTCCTCCATATGCTCTGCCACAACAAAAGTCATCATCTTCAGACTCGTAGATGTCATGATCGACCAAGATAACCAGAGCATAGGCGTCAACAGGGAGAATCGAAATAGTCATATCAAGAATATCGTCTAGGTTGAGTTGAGCGGGGAAAGCAGAGTCTGGCGGGGGGCGGACGCGGATCCTCGTACATCGATCTTCGCTATCGAGAAGACCAACGTACTTTGGCAGAGCGGCACTTCGGTAACGGCTGGAGGGTTTGGAACTAGAACCCCATTGTGTCCAGGTCAAGGGCGTGGGTAGGAGGCGAACGGGCATATTGTGGTAGAAGGCGGCAAGGTAATCAACAAAGAGGTCTGCAGATGGAGGTGACTCTGCTTCTTGTCGATCCTCTGATGCTCCATGACCAGTTGGTATCACCCAGTCTCTCATGAATTCCACCTTCTTACTGATCTTGGGTACTTGTGCTACATATAGTGTATCCCTTCCAGTTGTCGATAATAGTCTATTCCTGGTTTCCGCATTTAGCCACTCTTTGGTAGTTTGAGGTTCACTATCCGGATCGTAGTTTAGATCATCATGCGGTAGAACAAGAGGACCGGGAAAGGTTCCTATCGAGTAATCCTTGCCCTTCTTCGGTGCTCGCCCAGATGTCGTTTCTGCTGCTGCACGTGCCGCGGCATCTGGTTGTTCATATCCTGCTAATTCTGCGAAGGGTGAGGGCTCCAAATGTAGAATGGCATGTTTACATGTCATAGTGAGTATCGGATGTTATGAACGGAGGGGAGCAAAAAGGAACTGGGAAAGGGATAGAGGATGTTGCCTAAGAGGGGGCTGAATGTCGTGAACGCTAGTCCGACACAGGAAAGGTTCGCGATTCATGTCTGTACCAAGCTGCTCATCGATGACTCGCCCCTGCTCCTGCTGTCTTTTCGTCATGTGCAGTCCATTCCTTCTATTCCTTGTGCGCATCCAATCGACACATCTACCACAGCGGATCATTTCTGCCCCAGTATAGCAAGCTCCCTCCAATCGCCAAGCTGTTGAAAACACCAACGTAATGACCTGCAATCTTGTCTTTCGCTCCATACGCGCTGACAATTATCGAATCCGCGACAGTTGCAACTAATCCTGCCATTACTGCGACACCTAAACTCCTCCTGTCTCGCAGCACCAGCCCGAAAACTGCCAGAAGAACGCCATTTTGAACATTGCGTGCTGCTATAGCCGCGACTAGAGCTTTTTTTGTCTTTTGATCTTCTTCGTACGTGCTTTGATTGTTGCCGGAACGTTTTACGGATGCAGGTGACGTGTCGGACTCGCTTGAAATGGGCAGACCGTAGCCGTCTGCGAAGAAGGAAGGATCACGTAGGCCTATTATACCAAACGGCACAATTTCGAGGGTTGCGATGAAAAGCGCAAGACATTCCGCTGGTGGAGGTAGGTGGTGGAAGAGGTTGCGGACTTGTGTCGTCATGGTAGGCGATCGAGTTGATAACCAAGATAGTTTTGCTTAAAGTAGTGCCACTGCAGAGCTTTAGATGCGAAAAGAGACATGATGCGGTCTTATAGACGCAGTCGGATCAATGCAGGAGATACGTACAGTAGGTATATGTAGACCTCCTTCAACTCCTATTGGCTAACATAGTTCGGACTTCGGATGCGGGGATTGCAGGGCTGAAATCGTCGCCCTTTCCCCAACCAGCTTTCGAATCTAATACTCATTGCATCTTATGCATGTTTTCGAGAGGAAAGAAAGGCGACTAATGCTCCCATCTCTGTTAGTGTGTCGTAACAAAGGCCTGCTGGCGTATGACTAGAGCGAGGACGCGTCCGTTGATGAATGCTACGTTATCCCCTAGGTACGGCAAGCGCATCAGAACATTGCCATCACATATGCAGACTCCAAAGACGTATCCGTGAGCCCAAGGACAATAAACCTTCTGGAACGAGATGGTAGACAGGCATATCAGGGTCCTTTGAGACAACCTTGGAAGGATATCACCATACTGGAAAGATAGCCTTGGACTGCAGCCAGTAGTTCACACCGCAAGTGGTATGTGTACAGTAGTACTCTGTCCTTCAGTAGAAGCTAGAAGTCTGATCGGATTCAGAGATCCTTTGGAACTGAGCGGTGTCGTAACCTGACTGGGTAGCCACATGGCAGCTGCGTCTCTCCATTTTGTCGTCCTATTAGAAAGCTGTCATCTAAGATGACAGTGTAGGCACCCACATCGTTACCGCACTTTGCCTATGAGAGGTAGCGATTGGTGAGTGTGGTGCAATGTGCACCTGCCTGTGTAGTGAAACTTAGGTGGACTTCTGAAGGTTTGATCACCCCTACTCTCTAAGGGATCTTGTTCGTGTGGCGCACTTTCCTTCCCTTCACTCGCCTCGACGCCACGAAAAGCTCGGAGTCGCACACTTCTACATTCACACACACTCCAATTTTGCTAGTCGCACGCTTCCCAATACATAAACAGTCTCTCCTCTCCCTCTCACGCTCCACAGACACTCGCTTCTCAACTCTTCTGTCACGACTCACACTTCGTCAACGCCAGAGCAGCCCCGCGACTCTCGCCACTTGTGCCTTATTTTGGCAATCTAACTTTTAGAAAGCCATCTTTGCTCTCTCACCTCTCCGACAACACTTGTGAACTGCAGTTCAACGACCCCTCTCCTTCCACCCCCGAGCGAACGCGAAAGATGGCGACAGCTCCTTCCTTCTGGGCTGCTGGCAATAACAAGATCAAGTCTGCCGAGTCTCCGAATCCTAAGATTGCAGAGGCGCCACCGAAGCCCAGACCAGGCCCTCAGCAGAAGAAGGGTCTCGTGCTCAAGGGCATTTCCAATGGGCACATCACAAGTGACTTCTCTGCAAAACCCGCTGTAGCCACCGGTAGCAGAAAGGCTGACTGGGCTGATGATGATGACGACAACAATTTCATCGCGGAGTTTATGAGCCAGGACCCGAAGGTCGCCACACTCGAGACCACCGTCGTTCTGAAACAGGAGCGCGTGAAAGAACTAGAGGCGGTGGTAATCACGAAGACTCTTCGAGTTGCAGAGTTGGAAGGTGCGGTTCAAGATAAGGACCATCATATTAGTGACCTAGAGGCGGAGGTCCAAGAGAAAGACAGCAAGATCACATTACTAAAGAAAGAGAACAGCGATCGACTCCTTCAGAACCAAAAGCTGCTGCGCGAGGCTCACGAGAAGGACAGCCAGATCAAGAAGCTGCAAGTTGAGCTGGAGGAGAAGGCTGTGACCGTTCGCAGCCTTGAGCAGGAGTCAGCTGCGCTTGTCCCTGTGCCAACAAACGATTCTGAGTTGATCACCGAAGACGAACTTGAGGACAAAGAATTAGAAAGCACCAAGATAGATGGGACTGACGGCATTACTGAGGTGGAAAACGAGGTCGATGAGACCTTCTCTGAGGCTTCGGATAGCTTCGAGATCGTTGATCCCCCCAGGGATGGGGAGACTAGAAAGATTAAGGAGCAGGAGACTGAAGCGACCACTACTGGAGAGTCCGTTGACGCTGTTCCAACGAAGAAGAGTTGTGGCCCTTCGTTCGGCGAGTCTGAATTCCCGACATTCGTAACGAAGAACATGCTGAAAATCGTTCCGTCAGCCCCGAAGCCCAAGACCTTGACCTTTCCTATAGATATGTCTAAGTATGGGAAGAAGTCCACCGCACCACCTACCACGAAGAGTGTACGTCCATCATCAACTATGATCGAGAAGAACGGTCACACGACACCCTGGGGCCAATCTTCCAAGCAGGCACGCGACAAGACCGGCGCCATGCCCGAGTTTGACTACTCGACTGACATCCGTCACATGCCGCATAGCAAGCGCGTGCTCTTTGGCAACGGTCCTGAAGTTGTTGTTAAGCTCGGTGATGTCAAGCTGGCTACTGTCACCAAGTACGTCTTGATGCAGTGCTCGTTCAAGGCTCTTGAGTACTTCACCAGACGACCTGAAGCCACCTCCTGGATCCTTCCCGCCGACTCGATGGACGTAGACTCTGCGACGGCGCACCTCAAGTGGATGGACGAGATGACCTACCAAAGCAGGATCTACTCTTTGAAGTTCCAGACTGAGCATGTCCATGACAAGAAGAACCTCAAGATCTGTCACGCTGCCCGTGTTCTAGGACTGAACAACATGTACGTTGCCCAGTTCACTAAGCAGTTCTGTGACCGTATCCGCGCTGAAGATATATCGCCCGAATTCATGGATCTTGTCTGCCAATTGGCTTACCCGGATAATGACCCGATTTTTGACTGTCTAACCAACAACTTGGTTAATCGAAAGAAGGTTGGAAATGACAAGGGCGCTGCAGAATTGGAGAAGCTGTTAGCCAAGTACGCGCTTCTAAAAGACAAGGTGGATAAGATTGAAAAGCGTTTGACTGGTCGTCCGCGCAAGACCTGGATGTCTCACGAAGGCAGTGCGCGCGGTGGTAGTAACGACCGCAGCAGCGGAAAGGGCCGTAAAAGTGGTGACGCTGAAAAGTCTTTGCCGGATGTTGTACAGCCTGCGCCTGGAAACAAGCCGGTTGCTCCAGCGGCTGAGGAGGCGCTATTCACCATCCTCCAGTAGACTAACACTGTGGTATGACACCATACTTCCGAGGGATGGCTGGAGTATGCTAGAAAAGAGAAGACTGTCTAATGGCTTTCACGACGCTGGTACAGTCCAAATGCGTTCGAGCGGGAGCTTTGTCCAGGTTGTAGGTCTTTGCATCTACAGCAAAAAATGGATATATAGATCGACAACTTGTTTCATTGATAGAGTGGTATACGTCTCTGGACATTTGAGGTCTGGAGACATCTTCAACGCAATCGACGAGTGTCAGGTAGCGTAGTTTACAATGCCATCGATGAAATCAACAAACACCTCACATGTACAACTGAATCACCAGGAAGAGTCTGTGGAAGCGTTTGGTTGGGGGTCTGCTTTCTTTTGCCAACCTTTCGCAACCTGACGGATGCATCTAGCATCTACATTCTACACCTTTTCGGCTGACACATAGATACTTGACACCCTTGTACGGAGTTACACCACTACCCAGACCTTTACTCTTCTTTTGGTCCACGTTCAAGCTCTCCACGCGTATTCCACTCGGCAACCAACCTTTGACGGAAAAGCTGATGGTCGCACAGCTTGGCATGAGGACTTTGTTTGCCTGCTTGATCTTGGCGTCGCTATCCGGCCTCGGCGCGTTAGAAGACGAGGCCGCAGGCAAAGATATCTGCGTATTCTGGTCGTCATCATAATCGTATGTTGATGTTGCAAACGAAACCGGTCCACCGGCATCCAAAGCATCTTCCGCAGATGGGTCATCCTGGCCAATAACAGTCCCGCGTAGCGTGGCTGTGGCTCCAATTCCTCCACCCCGGTCTTGAGACATGAGGTTGCTTATTTCACGACTACTTATACGCCATTCTATTGCCCTGTCGCCAGGGGCGTAGCCTGCATCTCCTGTTCCGCGTGCGAGACGAAGATCGGCGACGTTTCTGACAGACGCTGGGAGAGGAATGTGAATGGTCATTTCTTCGATAGCAGGAGCAGACGTCGTTCCTGTGGAGGATGTGCGGCTCAGGCTAGCCTTTGCGGCGCTGGGCTGAGAGGGTTTGTTTCCGCTGAAGCGTGGGTTGAGTTGGAGTTTGACCTCGAAGTCTGTGCCGCTTGGCCCAAGGGAGGGGTTAACGGATACCGTAGCAGGTATGTTGAGTTTTGGATTCGCACTCTTGGCGCTCTTCTCGGTAGAAAAGGCATCCAATGCTGCGGAACCTAGTAGATCGACTTCGTATCCGGCGAGCACGAAGCGACCATCTGGCGGGACGAATGACAGTTCACCTGGTCTCGCTTTCCATTGATTGAGCCTGACGCAAGGGTGGAAGACGGGAAGCGAGACAGCGTTTTGTATGCCACCTGCGCATCCCAAGTGTAGTATGAGATCTGGAATTCCCGAGACCTTGGCAGTGAAAGCGATGGTACCATTTGCCACTGCAGCCAAAGGACGGCCAGATGGCGACAGGGTGACTTCGAGTGTTTCCACAATGTCCACATACATCTCATTGCTCGTGTGCCTGACATTGGCTCTTCTCCACGGTACCGGTGAGCCTGTCTGACTTGAGGCTGGCGAGGGACCCAATCGCGGACTCGGTCTCCCACCCCCTAGACCAAACGCTCCAGCAGAAGATGGTGTGAGCGAGCTTGGTGTTGAAGATGGTAATCCAACCCCTCCTAAAAGGCTCTTGAGTAGATTCGGAGCTTCAACGACGTCTCTCAGTGCGTTGGGCTCGGTGTTGGCGATGATGCCGCCATCGACCATCTCACTAAGTAGTTGTGCGACGACATCATAGTTTCCTTCGATCTTGCTCGCTAGCAGTGGCGAACCCAGGAAGTCCTCAAGTACGTCGGTGAGGCGGTGGAGGAGGGTGAGAACGGCGAGAGGGTCGGTATCAGCTGATGCCGGGCACAGGAACAGAAGCTGGTCTTGTATTATGCTGTATAGCAGCGTCGGTGGGTTGGTGTTGGGTAGATATATTAGCGGGGGTCTTGGGGCGGGATGTGCGAGGTAGAGAGGCAGTAGGACAGAAGATGGTGGTGGGCGATTGAGGTACGTGTGTTCGAGGAGCGGGGTGCTAGCGACATTAGCGATGAAACACGTGATGACTGCAGCAGCGTGATCCTACTTGTGCTCATCAAAGATGTAGAGAGCTTCTATTGCGCTCATGGTGTGAGAGTGTCAGCTGCGAGCCATGCGCGTGCGAGGACGTGAGGTTCGCGTCGTGGGGCAGTTTTGGCGGGGAGCTTCCGGGGCTAGACGATCCCTGCATGGCGGCGGCTAGAGCCATGTCGTCCAAACTTGTCGTCGCAAGACCTTTATACGATACAGTCAGGGTCTTGGTTAGATCTCTAGGACACGTCTCGGCAGTGACGGCAATGGCACTGCAACCGCCATCTCCTCCGACCTTTCAAGAAGCCCTCAAGAATGACAGAGCGCAATTCGAGGATTGCACGCCCTGCCGCATAGTTGGTACTGCACTCTCTCGTCGATATGAGCTACCTGACCCAGTACTAATACACACACAGGAAGCGCAACGTTCCTTGGCCTCGGCGCCTTTACCTATGTCTCGGGTCATTCGCAAATCAAGGCCAATGAAGCGGCGATACGAGCCAGCAAAAGCATGTTCGGCATGAGGAGCAGAGGTATCGCTATAACGGGGACAAGCGCTGTCATGGTGGGCCTGGGAGTCTATCGGTGGTTCTCATGACAGGATGGCTGCAGCATGAACTAGATGAGGCACGGCATGTAACGTGTTGGAATTCCACAGAACAAAAAGAGAACTGAGGACCTAGAACAATATTATTGATACCATCTCCTTCACAAAAAAAAAGCTCTCTCTTGCTATCTACTTGCACACCACTAAATGATGTCCCGCCCCGTAGAGAAGGAAAAGAAAGGTATATAGATCCAAAAGCAATGAACACCACAGGATGCGTCTATTAAGCCTCCCCCAATGCGTATGAAAAATGATCCACTAGCCCTATGCGCCGTCTGGGTATGATGCAGGTAGTCGTGATTCGTCGAAGCGTCGTTCGTGTCATTGCCTGGAGTCGGACGAGTGGCCTCTCAGGCTTGGAGATTTGTATGCTATGACATGCGTCCGCGCTTGGGTCCGCCGCCTGACGAGCCGTCTCGTCGGTCGTTGGAGCCATCGACGTTGAAGAAGTCGTTCATCAATCGTCTCTTTTGGCCTGCGCCTGTGCCTAGTTGGAAGAGGTTCTGAGCGGCGGATCGTTGGAGGTTCCGGGTGGACGAGCGGTTCGAGGGACGGCGGGGCGCAGAGAAGGCACGGCGAGCGGCAGCGGACATGTCGGCCGAGGCGGTTTCGTTTGGTGGTTCGGACGGGAAGGCTTGGGCAGCAGAGAATTCGAAGACGTGGTGTAGCGGCGACATGTCAGCCTCTGTGGTCGAGGCTTCCATCTGAAGGGGAGGCGCCGAGTCGCATCGTTGCTCCGTAGCCGTTGGCGGATCCAGCGTGCCTGAGTCTTCCATGCCGGGGTTGCGGTCCATGATGGGCGAGGAGCTCCTGGCACGGTTGCTGTCGAGGTACTCTTCGTCGCTGTCGCTGCTCGACTGCTTGGGCAGGCTTCCATCCAGCCGCTCTGTCGCCCACTGCCGTATCCGCCAGCCCTCTCCGTCGCCCAGGCCCATGTTCTCCTTGTCCAGAATCGCGAGCAGGTCGTCAAGAGCTTCTTGGTAGCCGTCGGTGCGGGCCCTGTCGAGGTCGGCAAGCGCCGACTTATACAGGTTGGTGACGTTTAACGCCGCCGTCCGGAACGACTGGTGCACATCGGGTTGCCGTCTTGTCTTGGGCAGTGACTTGTTGAGGCTGCGCATCGAATCCATGACGGACAGTCTTTGTCAGGCTCCGCTGAGTCGTGGCCCGTCTTCAGCACACGCACGCGAATGCAACCGCGATGGAGAATGCAAAGTACGAGAGAGTGAGGTGATGCGGGAAGAAAGACAGGCGAGAAGGCTATTTACTTGCAGGAAGCGTCGCTTCCGTCGTTGTAGCTGAGGTCGTGGGCCGCTGCGGGGGGCCAGCGCTGTCATGATTCTTAGGAGTGGTTCCTGGCCCGTGCGCTCATTGCATGTGCCACCCATCACCCATGCACCGCGCTATCCTCACATCACATCACATCTGTCCATCTCTCTCCATCACCATGTCGTTATGACTTCACAGATAGAACGTCTCCCTGTGGAGCTGTTCGAGCTCGTTGCTGCCAGTCTGGAACTACTGTCCTGCAAGAACCTCCGTCTGACTTCCCAGAGGCTGCGTTTCCTGATTCATCTACTCTTTGTAGAATGCGCCTTCTCCCGACTAAAGACTACCCTCGGCTCGCCCTCCCTTGGTCGTCTCGTCAATGTGTCACGGTGTGAAAATCTTCGGGGTGCTGTCAAAGTCCTGCAGATCCAGCTTCTGACCTCCAGTGACTATCACACGCTCGCTGCTATCAGCCGCGTGGGCAGATTCCCTCCACCCAAACGATTTCCCAGGGTGCCTGGCATCCAAGACAGACATGTCCATGACGAGGCAACTACGTTGAAATATGTTCTGGAAAGCAGTTATCCGACACGGCTCTACGATAGCCTTGTTAAAGCGTTGCGAGGCTTCACCAACTTGGAGGCTGTTCACTTTTATCCGAGAAATGACCAGCCGGCTGCATGCCGCCGCCTCATCTCTGAAGACGACCGCTTGTTTCGTAGCAGGTGCTTTCAAGTTGTCGTCGATGCTATCGTCCAGACCGATGTTCGTCTGCTCGAATTTCGCATGGCTAAATGCAGACGTGGAACCGCTCTACACAAAGAAGCCACCCTACCGTTTTCGGTGCTCAATGTACCCGCACAATCTCTTCATGCGTTGTGTCATCGCTTTTCGCATCTCCACACTCTCACAATCTCTGTCTTGACCATCTACGACGACGTTTCTCAGGTACCTGGCTGGCAGAAATGGATTGCAAGCATTGTTACCACAGCACCAAAGCTGAGAAATCTGACTTTGAGTCTAGATCGCAGTGCTTATGTCGCATCTGCATTCCGAAGCTTAGCCTCTTCCTGCACATGTCCCAATCTCCAAGTGTTCCAACTCATGTTCTGCGCATTGCACGCAGACGATCTAGCTTCCATGATCAGCAGTCATTCAGCGACGCTACGACGAGCCCTCTTCTCTGATCTTCGTCTCGTTACCGGTACTTGGTCGTCGATATTACACGCTCTAAAAGAGTGCAAAAAGCTTGAACATCTACGGCTGAGCTCGTTGTCTGAAGAAAACCACCCAATCCAACGCTTAGACGTACGACGGGAGAATCGTGACATGGCCGGTATGTTGGAAGAAATTATCGCCATCTATGACACCCCGGCAGATACGCTAGCCCCTGAGAACAGCAGCTCCGTTGGTCCCCATCATGTCGTGGGCTTGTCGGTCAACCTGCGCGAACGGCTCAATATCACGGTACCCAGTGGATGAATTGTTCATCTATGATTGCCAGCGCACGCTGTATCACCTGCTCCCTGTTGTTTGTCAAGACGTGATTGAGGATATCAACTGAGGGATTCACGGTGTTATTCAGTCAAAGGCCGATATTCGTCTATTTTACGACAACTTCAGGCCAATTCCGTGGACGTCACCAAGTGAGACCCGCTGGTCCGCCTATCACTCCATCGTGGAGTGCTTATCGACTTTACCATCTACAACCGTCATGTGGGCTCGGCTCTTCTCTTCGCTCCGATGACCCAACTTTCTTGGTACATCTGGAAACGAGTTGCTGAAGAAGACCGTCGAGACCATGGAGAGAGAGATGGATTCCAAGATCGAAGATATGGAGAGAGCTCATGCGATTAGAGACGCCAGAGAGACGAATGTCGAAACAAGCATCATCGAAGTAGACACGAGCGATTGGCAGATTCTCCGTGTCGCAAATGGAGGCGGAGCACCCCCAAAAAGACAGAAGATGGCTCACGGAGGGGACAGTGTGTAGTAGGAAGATAGCTGGAATGGACACTGACCTGGTCTATATGACACGGATACTTTGCCCAGGCCACTTGGCATAAGACTGAGGGTTAAGCTTCGAACATCTGAGTTCATCTTCAATCGTCTTCGTGGGCTGATATAGAAGCCTGACAGGCAGTGCGGTGGTGTCAACCATCCTTGGATGACTGTACGTGCATATTTCACGATGATCTCGACCAATGAACACTAGAAAAAGAAGCATAGAGCAACTTGACAATTCACACATGCAGCGTGATTTTCCATGTTTTTCAAAGACACCGCACACGCAAAATGGCAATCTCCTTTCGAACAGTTCACTCGACGTCTTCTCCAATCGTTCAACAAGTTGAGAACCGGTGAATTTCGACAGACTAATGCAAAATGTTACAGATATGGCTATTCTCCACAACGCCACTGCAACGACGCGAAAGCTTGATTTGACACGGATCTGCATTGCTTCCATAATTCCGTCCAGTCGCGCATGCATGCTAGATTCAGCGATTGCCTGCATTGCATCGGAGAGTGGGTAGTGGGGTAGCGCTGACCGGAACACCAAGGCGTTGCCGGCGCCGCATCTGGCCTGCATCTGGCTGGTGTTTGCGCAGGTGGCACAGTACCAAGCTCTGGGGAACCAGCTGCTCGATTTCCTGGGTCTGATTATATTGCTTTGCATGAAGGGTTAGGGTCTGCATCACGCCATGTACTTGCTGTTTGAAACGTCAGTCTAATTAAGGAAGCATGAACAGCGGACCCTGACGTCTTGGAAACCATTGAAACTTTCGTGGAATTTCACGCCTAGACGGCGACAACCCTCAGTCTTGACCTCACCCATGCACAGTCTCACCACACTCACACGACACGACACGACAAAATCAAGTCGGCTCTCCACGCTGAAGTCCGAGCAGACTCTGCGACTGTTGTACTGCTTCTGGAAACTAGTTATGGATCATCCTTGCGTCGATGCTGTCGATCTCACGTCGGGCATTTTGACCTCCGACAGCAACTCAGCAAACAGCCAAGATCAGCGTTCCACGACCGCCAAAGTTCAAGCCACTTGTCAGCGCGACCGCTGAACATAAGCCTCGTAGCGCCTGTCAGGGTCTGAGACTTGCTCTAGTTCAATAGTAGCGACTACAAACGTGCCACGATGCGCGATACTAGACGACAAATCGCATCA